AAACTAGAGGAACTACCATGTGGAGGATGTTCTTATTGCAGGAAGAAACATCAAGAATGGGGCAAGTTTATTGATTCTGTCGATAATGCTGTTCCATTAGCGAATACGTCAATAAAAGTACAACAGGTCAAAGCAATGCCTACTCTCGCATGTTGGTTAAATGGATATACTTGGAGAGAGGTTGGTGAAGCGCAGCATAAGGATAAGGACCTCAAGTTAATTCTCAATTGGCTTGCAAAACAAGAAGTGCCTAACGAAGACGAGCTTTTCCTCAGTAGCCCAGCGACAAAACATTATTGGACTAACAAAGAATTGTTCTTCTTAAGTAAAGAGGATATTTTGTGGAAAAGAGATGAGAATACTGGAGCCAAACTTTTAGTGGTACCCATAGCCTTAAAAGAGGAAATATTGAGTTTATCTCATGATTTACCTTCATCTGGACATCAAGGCCAAGATAGAACCTATAACAGATGTAAACAAAGGTTTTACTGGTACAATATGTTAACAGATGTTAGAAAGTTTGTTGTATCTTGTTCTACCTGTAGTAGAAACAAGAAACCGAACAGGAAAGCTAGGTGGAAATTGACATCATACCATGCTAGTGCACCAATGGAACGTGTACACTTAGATTTTATGGGACCATTTCCGCTTACTTCTAAGCAGAATGTTTACATATTGATGATGGTGGACCAGTTTACGAAATGGGTAGAATGTGTGCCACTACCAAATCAATCAGCTGAGGAAACGGCAAGGGCAGCAATCAACCACTTTTTCTGTCGTTTTGGATTTCCTTTCCAAATTTTTACAGATAGAGGTTCTAACTTTGAGAGTACTCTGTTCAAACAACTTTGTGACAGATTACAGATTTTTAAGGCAAGAACAACAGCTTTTAGACCTTCTGCAAATGGGCAAGTAGAGCGTTTTAATAGAACCCTCATGGATGCTCTGAGATGTTTTACAAGTAGATCTCCAACACAGTGGGATGAGTACTTGCCACAACTGGCTAGTGCCATAAGATCCTCTGTCAATCGAAGTACAGGGTTTACGCCAAATATGTTGATGCTTGGACGAGAAGTTAATAGCCCATTGGATTTGATTTTTCCGGGTCCAGAGCCAAGTGACATAGAAGATTACGAGCAATATGTCACAAATCTAGTGCAGAATATACAAGCCACTCATGAATTGGCTCGTGAAAAGTTGCGAAGTAGTCAGGCTATTGCTAAGCGTGACTATGATCTGAAAACTTTTACACGATCATATTCTGTTGGTGATGCTGTATATATCTTGGACACATCAACACCAAAAGGTAAATGCTCAAAGTTAAGACCCAAATGGAAGGGGCCAGGGTTGGTAGTCAAGAAAATTACAGATTACTTGTATAAGGTAATGTTGCGTAAAAAATTAGAGACAATCAACCATGACAGAATGAAATTGTGCCAAGATAAAAAGTTGCCAGTCTGGTTACAGAAACAGGTTGAGACATTAAAAATGAGTTCTACTGATGTTAGGTGCTCGACAGAGATGACAGGTAAGAAAAGTCTGTTCTGTCTATGCCGTGGCCCTGACAATGGAGACTTTATGATACAATGTGAAGAGTGTAAAGAATGGTATCATGGGTCTTGTGTAAATGTTACCCCAGGACAAGCCGAACAAATTGATGTTTATCTTTGTCCTGATTGTATATAATATGTAAATTATGTTTTTACTTTAGCCATGTCTGACAGAGAAGAAACAAAGAGAGCCTGGAAAGAAGCAGGAAACTCAAGACAGCGACCTAAGGCCAATAAGTTTGAAGCTCTTAGAAAGCCAGACGAGAGTGTAATGGACTGTGTCCGCCGCCTTAGTGATAACCACATCATGGTGGAGCCTAAAAGTTTATATATGAATCTAGTGACTCAGAGTAATGATGACTTGAAGAAAGGATCAGTCCTCCAATACAAGGTTGCCAAGACATTGGGGTTCAAACACTGGATTCATGAGATGAGGTTAAACTGCCAATGCGATTTGCCGGACTCGTGGATTGAGGAAAACTTACCCTCCTTAACCCGACAGAAGCTGGTGAAGCCTCATCGGTCAACCAAACCATCTGATGCTGCCGTAACTTCGCGCGACATCAGATTGACTACTGATCCTTCTCTGCAAGTTGTCCGGATGAACGCTGTTGATGACTCAGTGCTGGATTTAACCGAGCCTGTTCTTGGGACTTCAGAAGCTAGTGGGGAGACAACCTCAAAGACAGAAAAAGAACTGGAAACAAAAGTAAAGTCTACCACCAAGCCAAAGCCCAAGTTCAAAGAACCAAAAACCTTGGAGGAATCCTACAGCAAAGAGTCAACATCAGTTGTTAAGACAAGACCTGCATCTGTTGTAAAGTTGCCATCCTTGAAAACAACATATACACAGTCAACAGAGAGGAAAATAGGAGTTTCTTCAAATAAGCGATCCTTGACCATAACTGTTGACAGTCCACGGACAAAGGCAACTTTACCCGAGACAACAGAATATTGTATACTGTCATCATGTGGATCCATGGACAAGAGAGCGAGGAGACATGCCCTAGCAAAGCACCTGCCAGCTGTGTTTAAGGACGCGACTGGTGTGGAGCATTTGCCTGGTGCTGTCCAAGCACTAAGATGGTTGGTTCATATGGCCTATGGACAAGAAGCTTCATTATGGGATGCTGTGCACAGGGTGAATCAGTCGGGTTTAATTCCGGAGTCTGCCAACCTAAATCCCTTGCATCATAAAGTATTTATAGAGGCATGCAAGCTGTTGCAGATTTCAGAGCCCAGTCATTTCACCTTGCGACCCATCAACTCTCCTGCTGTGTTGCTGTTCTGGAGGTGCATCATGGTGATTCTGAATAGCTGTAGTCCTGATCAACAGCAGCAGTTTTACCATTTTCAGCCGTCAGAAGACCCCAGCAAGGAAGATAAGATGGTAGAGGAAGCGTCGGATTCTGAACTGCCGTCAGACTTGGAGGAATTTATCCTGGTAGATGAGGCTGATTCGGACCAAGACGAATCTACAGTAGTGGCCAACACATCATTGCCTCAGGTATTTGATGCCCATTTCCACCTAGACCGTTCACTTAGGGCAGTCTGGGGGAGGTCTGGAGGACGTACTGTAGAGGAGTTACTGCAATACAGCTTCTCCAGTGATGTTTCCTATAAGCCAGCCATCAAGGTAGACGTAGTTGGGGGAATTATTGTATATAGTGAGCCCAAGTCCTATCCAGAGGTAAACTTCACCTTACAAGGTCCCTGGAAAGTGGCAATTGGAGTTCATCCTAAGCATTATGATACCCTCACCGTAGAGAAAACGATGAAGATGCAACAACTCCTAGAACATCCTAAAGTAGTGGCATTGGGGGAATGCGGCCTAGACAGAACCATTGCTCCTTCCCAGTGGTGTAGACAAGAGGAAGTGTTTGTTAGGCTTCTGAAGTTAACAAAAGTCGAGCAGCCCCTTGTTCTCCACCTCAGAGGACCAAGAGGAGACACTTATTCCTCAGATGTTCATGGTCGTTGCCTCATGTTAATGGAGGATATCTGTGACCCAGAACAGAAAATCCATGTACACTGCTTCATGGGAAGAGCTGACGTGGTGAGGACTTGGCTGCGGAAATTTCCAAACACGTACTTTGGAGTGACAGCTGCCGTCAGAGCCTTTGACCATGAACAGCTGGAAGGGTTACAGGCTATCCCTCATAATAAGTTGCTCCTGGAGACCGATGCGCCCTACTTTCCTTTAGGAGGTGCCATCGTGAGTACTCCAGCTTATTTGGGAGAAGTAGCAGCTTATTTATCCGTCCATTTGAACATGCGCCCCCCAGAGCTGATGAGAACAACCGTCATGAATGCACGGAAGCTCTACGGATGTTAAAACAGGAAAGACTGGTGACCAAGTGCATGCCGCTTTATTAGTGTGCTGAAGATATCTAATATTTATTTTAAAGATGCCTTCATGCCGCTATTAAGTGTGCTGACAGTGATACATTCAGTCTCCATTGCATCAAATTCCTCGAACGGCTCCAGATGTGATGATGTCTTTTGTGTTCTTCTTTATCAGCGCTGGATGTTATTCTGTGCTCTGTATTCTGCTTCATCGGTGCTGGATGTGATGATGTTTTATATTATTATATGGCCATGTTAACAGTAAATCAGTTTTTATTGTTTGTATAATTGTTTTAATATTTGTGGCCATTATAGTAGTTAATAGGTGTGTTTATAAAGTAATATTTTGTATATTAAATTAATATTGAAAATTTAAATAACTCAAATACAGAACATTCAAATTGGAATGGGGAGGAGTGTTGTAAAGAATGAACTTTCGTACGACTTACTTAAGGACTTTCCCGATTCTAAATATAGATGATCAGAGACTTTCTTCCCGCCAGCCCGTGCAGAACTTTTGCCTACTGTATCTGTATATTTGTACTTGTATTGTTTACCTGTGCTTACAGAATATATTCTAAAGTAAGTAAAGGTGTATTTTTTCTATACTACAGAAAGCAACCAATCAGAGCGCTGCTTTCAATTGACGCATATGGAAAGAACTGTCGCCAGATCCAAATATCGAGAAAAGAGGTTAGTTATATAACTAACGGTACGCGTTGATTAGAATTTGACTGAAGAATATTAAAATTGAATCTATACTCCACTCACTCCTAATTGGTCCGCAACGAAAGTCGCCCAGAAACAAGATAGAAAGTCCTGTCAAAATTTGTGGTAGCGAATTTCCTATTTTTAGATTCCTCCCTTGTGTATTTTTATAGTAGGGGTAACTTTATTAAAAGAAGATAAATATTTCGTGACAAGCCCCTGTGGTTTGCTCTGCTTCTGATCTGTATTATTTTAATGGACTTTTGAGCACTGTTCATTATTTTCAAACATGTATTTTTCATCCCTTGACTGTACATGTATTGTTACATTAAGATACATGTTATGCATCTTTCTTATTTCAGTAAATTCATGTTGACTAATTGTTTGTTATTTTAGATTCTTTCAATCTTCAAGAAACTACATCGAGTACGACAGAGGGCTTTTAAGAATGATGACATTGGACTGAAAGGTATGGAATAATACCATAATACAGACTATAGTATATATCTTAGCATATACGCAGGTTTGATTGTACCTCATGATTATCTAGTGAATGAGAGATAATTATATTTGAAATACTTGACTGTAGTTTGTAGGGAGAGAATAAATAATGGCTTCAGAGAGAACAGAAATGTGACAAATGAAGAAGAAATATTTAAGGTATGAAATATCAATACACGGTCATTAATTTAAATTTAATTAAAAAGTAAAATTATACCAATGTAAACAAACTTCTTTTAGATAGCACTATATTTCTGTAATTTATATCTTTATTCCACTTCAGCACAATTTTATGAACACAGATGTACTATAAGGCCATTCCATATTTTTACTTTGTTTAGCATCCACCCCTAAAATCAAAAACCTATCTTTTAATCCGGAAAAATACACATGCTAATAGAGAAAAGACACAACATTTAAGTACAATTCTAGAATATTTCATCATCAATTGAGAAATCACTTTGAACTGTAAGAAAGTTAAACTATTAGTTTATTGTAACAAAAACAATGGGTACACCACTTGAAAAGGAAATGAATTTCATATTCTCAAATCCAGTATGTGGACACTAAACATAGAAAGAACTTGGAATGGCCTAACTTTGATAACTACACTGTGTTGTTGTTTTCTATATATATATATATATATAGTTATATAAGACGGCAGAAGATGTGGAAATGGTTATGAGAACTCAACTTGTTCAACTGGAAAAAGTGGATGAAAATACATTCAGTAAGAGTTCTCAATCTTAAAAAAATAAAATAATGAAAAGTAAAACCCAGCAATTTTTAATTTGTCAGTTTATAGACAGAAAAATTAATTAACATTGGTAACAGACGGAGATAGTTTTTTTTTTTTTTTTCACGAGGGAGGTTAAGAAAATGTGTTCATTGTTCAATATCAACAGATTTCCTCAACATTTTATTGAAAAGTTATTTCTTCCAAATTTTTCTTCAAGTTCTCTATCTACTTTGAAGATAGACACTTTATTTGAAATCAGTAGGTGTACCTTGTGAAAATATGCAAGATATATTTACTAGACTTTTTCCTGCATATCATAAGTAAAATAAAATGATAAATCAAACAAAATGTTGGCCTTTTTTTGCTTGTTTACTTTATTTTGTTTTATCTATATGATCAACAGTGTTGAAAAAATTTAGTAGATGTCCAGGTAATTGCTTTATTTTATCCAGATTAATATTTAGTGGTCTCAGCTATCACTATGAAGGTTTTCATAATGACTCTAACTGTAGCTAACATAAGGGGGCATCAGGTGCAAGCTTGTAAGACCACAAATGTTAGTAAAAACAGACAACCCGTCACACACCCTTTCTAGAAATACCCAATTAAAAGTGAATTTGTGAGAACCTTCAGTGGTTGTCAACTTGAGCGAGTTATCAAAATAATGCTTTGACTATTGTTTAAATATAGACTGCTGAACTCAATATCACAAATGAAAAAAATATACTTGGTATTTAAACCAAGAATTTTTATGTAGTCACAGTACATATTTAGTGTATTTGTATTTATGTCTTCAGTCATATTGAAATAAATAATAAAGAGTAGATAGTCATACACCTATATATTTACTTACACCTTTCAGGAATGAATATCAGAGAAGAAACTCACAAGAGGCCAAATTATCTGTTTAACCCTGATGCAGCTGTTCCAATTGAAAGGAGGACACGAAAATCAAGAAAATGCGAAGATATCAAAGAACCTAAAGGATCATGAGAAATGCAGATATCCAACCTTAGTGTATTTCTCTGAACCTTGACATTGTCCGGACTCAGTGGCTACTGTGTCTATCATACTGTTAGATATAAACTGTTATGTGAAACTTATTTGAAGTGAGAAACTTGCCTTTTGAGGGATGTGAAGCAATATTAAGTACATGAATTGCATTATTCTGATTGTTTAATGCATTGTGTTAACAGTGGTATTAGTTTGTATTACAAATTTAAATAATTTATTTGTTATTAAATACCTAAATTTAAACAGAATTCACTTTTTTTTTCATTTATAGAATAAAATTCCACTTTATTAATGACACATAACAGATTGCTTTATACATAAATATTTGTTCAAAATGTCATAAAATGTCTTTTTAAAGGTACAAAGTACATGCAATCAGCAAAGTTATTATTACAACCTTTGCTAATGACTAGGTCATTTACTTTTCCTAAACACTTGTAAATGCTTCTTCCTTTGCCAAAGGGAAATGCAGCATAATAAAGTCTAGATATTGCTTGAAAATCTCTGAAACTCCCACTGATTCTTGAGAAGAAGATATTTCCTATACATTCCAATGTTAAACTTTGGTCATCAATTGTGGCCCCGCCCTCTCCACGGGGGTCATGATTTGAACAAACTTGAATCTACACTACCTGAGCATGTTTCCATTTAAGTTTCATCTTTCCTGGCCCAGTGGTTCTTGAGAAGAAGGTTTTCAAAAGATGCTATTAATTTTTCACAATTTTTTTTATTATCTCCCCTTGGAAAAGGGTGTGGCCCTTCATTTTAATAATTTAAATCCCCTTCACCCAAGGATACTTTGTGGCAAGTTTGGCTGAAATTGGTCCAGCGGTTCTTGAGAAGAAGTCGAAATTGTGAAAAGTTTACGGACAGACAGGCGGACACCGGACAAAATGTGATCAGAAAAGCTCACTTGAGCCTCTCAAGTGAACTAAAAAAAGGTAGCCTTAAAATTATTTGATATTATCTATTCTCAGTGTTTATTATCGGCCGCAGGAGCGGCCTACTAGTATCTATTTGTAGTTGTACATGGGAAATTGAGGCGTTATTTTTTTTCTCGATGAAATAACTCCTTTTTGATAATAAACATAAAAGTCGCGAATGAAACTTTTTAAAAATTCTCTTTATACCTTCTCCTAATGGTTGCTATAAGTTTCAATTTCTTTTTCAATTTTCAGCAGAAATTCATTAATTTATTATCTTATATAAAGTTGCTGCATAAACTGCTCCAAAAGGTGGGAGTTCTTAAGCTGTAGAAGCAAAAAGGATTGGGTTTCCCGATAAAAATTACGGTGCCTACAATAACATATAATGTATATTTTACAAGTTTTTTTTAGAGGAAGTTAATTTTGTTTTGAATACATTAATAATTACAGTTGCAAATGACACTATCCCTGCGTTTAAAAATTTTGTTTGTTCGCGTTGGGAATAAAAGTATAAAAAATCAAGATGTGTTTGTGAAACACTGAAGCCCCCCGTATGGCAACATAGCGAAGATTGAACTTTTCTTTAATGCAAAATTAATATATTGATACCAAAATTAGGGTATTCTCACTGGAAATACGATTGTGAAATATGAAGGTAGGCCAATGTTAAAGTGTTTTCATATGTACGGAAATTTCCAAGGTCAAAAGGTCAAGGAAATTGGTATCCAAATAAAGGACTTGCAACAAAGAATACATATCTTACCGTTCAGAAATTATGGCCAAGGTTAAAAATTATAAAAAGTAGGCCAAACTCGAAGGTCAAGTTCAAAGGTTCACAGGTCATGCTATCAAATGAAAGGTCTAGTGACGAGGATCAAATATGTTAAATATGAAAGCACTAGCCCAAACCCTTTACAAGCCATGGTCAAGGTTTTCTTTTTAAAAGTAGGTCAATCTCTAAGGTCAAGGTCAAAGGGTCAAAGTTCTTGGCATCCAATGAAGGGTTTTCTCACAAGGATTACATATGTGAAGTATGAAAGCCCTATCCCTTACCGTTCAAAAGTTATGGCCAAGGTTAAAGTTTTTTCATAAGTACAGAACTCTCCAAGGTCAAAGTTGTTGGTATCCAAGGAAACGTCTTTCCACAAAGAATATTGTGTGAAGTTTAAATGCCCTGATGTCTATTGTTCAAAAGAATTGGCCAAAGTAAATGTTTGGAAATTTTGTGTAAAGTGGGTCAATTTCCAAGGTCGATGTCAAAAGGTCAAATTTGGTGGTACCCAAAGAAATGTCTTGTCACAAGGAATATATCTGTGAAATATGAAAGCCATAGCTCCACTAAATCAAAAGTTGTGGACAAGGTTATTGCGGACATACAGACAGACAGAGAGACAGCTAGACAGACGGACGGACACGACGTCACAAAAACTATATATATACCCCCCGAAACTTTGTTTACGGGGACATAAAAAGGAACAGCCTTTAAATGAATTATACCATGTATGGTAATGTAATTTATGTTTTGATTTGATTTTTTTCCATTGGAATTTATTTTTGCAAAAATTCCATAAAATGCTAAAGTGATATGTGTTTGCCGCGGATTTGATGCTTTGCATCAATTAATCTTAATTGTTCATTTAAATGAGACAGAGAACGATATCTATGGCTCGCCAAATTCACAAAAATGAGCTAATTATAGTTTCACAGTTGATAAACTAGGCCTTATCGACTGTAAACTATAGTTTACAGACCATGAACTATAGTTAACAATTCGTTAACTATAGTTTTCATGTGTAAAACTATATTTAACGGTTGTTAACTATAGTTTACGAATGCTAATCCAAGTTTATTTGTCTGTAATAAAACGTTAACAATAGATTTTGATGATAAATATGGCACGCCAAATTCACAAAAATGAGCAAAATAGTTTCACAGTCGATAAACTAGGTTTATCGGTTGTAAACTATAGTTTACGGACCGTTAACTATAGTTAACAACGTTAATCTACAATTTTACATCTGTAAACCATAGTTATCGCGATAATCTATGTTTCAGAACCGTAAGCTATACTTAATACCGAAAACAATCATTTGCGATCGCAAAACATAGATTATCTGATAAATACAGTTTCACGATTTGTAAACTATGGTTTACAACTCTTAACTATAGTTAACGATCGTAAATTATAGTTTGCAGACGTGAATCTATGTTTATCAACAAAATCTATTGTTAACGTTTTATTACAGGCAGATAAATATGGCACGCCAAATCCACAAAAATGAGCAAAACATAGTTTCACAGTCGATCAACTAGGTTTATCGGTTGTAAACTATAGTTTACGGACTGTAAACTATAGTTAACAACGTTAATCTATATTTTACATCTGTAAACCATAGTTAACGCGATAATCTATGTTTCACAACCGTAAACTATACTTAACACCGAAAACTATCATTTGCGATTGCAAAACATTGATTATCTGATAAATACAGTTTCACGATTTGTAAACTATAGTTTACAAACCGTTAACTATAGTTAACGATCTGATAAATTTAGTTTCACGATTTGTGAAACTATGATTAACAACTCTTAACTATAGTTTACGATTATAAACTATAGTTTACAAACGTGAATCTATGTTTATCAACAAAATCTATTGTTAGCGCTTTATTCAGACAGATAAACTTAGATTAACATTCGTAAACTATAGTTAACGACCGTTAAATATAATTTTACAGATGAAAAGTATACTTAACGAATCGTTAACTATACTTAACGAATCGTTAACTATAGTTTACGGTATGTAAACTATAGTTTACAGTCGATAAACCTAGTTTATCAATTGTGAAACTAGGTTTTTCTCATTTTTGTGAATTTGGCGTGTCATAGATAAACTTAGATTAGCATTCGTAAACTATAGTTAACAACCGTTAAATATAGTTTTACAGATAAAAACTATACTTAACGAATCGTAAACTATAGTTTACGGTTTGTAAACTATAGTTTACAATCGATAAACCTAGTTTATTGACTCTGAAACTATGTTTAGCTCATTTTTGTGAATTTAGCATGCCATTGATATCATTTGTGCATCCTAAAGTGTGTGTGTCGGGGGGGGGGGCTTTTTGGGGACTGGGGTGAGGCTTGACACTTCTCATCATATACATGTAAACAAAGTTGTATACCCCCTTTTATCAACCTGAGAGACCAATATATGTACCGGTATATAAATATTTCATTATATACATGTACATGTGTTTTGTATAGTAATACATTTGTAAACAAGGTATGACTTTTTTTTACTATATTTCCAGGGCCGGGGAAGGGCTTTCCTCCCTATTCTACAGTTTTAGTATACCCGGTATCTAAGAATTGACCCCCTTGCACTCCCCAAGTAACCCATCTTACATCTGGACATGGAGACTTTTTTACGATTTGGCCATGAAACAAATAAATGAGGTGTTAGCCACCCTTATTTGCCATTTCTTCTACAATTTCGTGGCAGTATAAATCGTATCAATGTTTTCTTTTCGCAAAACTTTACCACTATTTTTAAGAAGAAAATTATAACATTAGATATGATATTGTTTTAAGGTGGGTTTTTTTTTTTGGGGGGGGGGGGGGAGTGGGGGGTAGTAGTTCCCATAATGTATTGTACCGGGATATTAATCAGATGGTTATTTATTTGTCTACAATGTATAAAAAAAATTTGCATTTCACAAGAAAACGAAAATTCCATGTTCAAAGATCCTGAGGAGTAAGATTGTATAGGTTCCTTAATTGATGCGTCAAAATTCCCAACACCTGTGTAAGAAGCTATAATATGTAATCAGTAGATCAGTCAGGGAACCTGGGGTCCCATAGTGCCCGACTTCTGAGTGTTTGATGTAGGGGTACATTTCATGTATCCATTAAAATTCTTTCATTAAGATTAATATTGAAATAACAAGCAGCACGTTGTTTTCGATGCATATCTTGATGGTATTTCTTTGAAATATCTGGTTAAGTTTAACAAATACTGAAATCGAAAAGATGAACATGTCTTCTGCATACTGACTCAATATTTTGTCTGAAGGTTTGCTGAGACTAAGGACTTAGTAAGGTTGTGTTTGTTTATTCAACTTTTTTAGAAATGTATAGAAAAAAAGTTTTACTAGCTTTACAGACGTGTGTTTCATCCTGTTTATATATTCGTTTATCATGTTTATCCTTTCTCTGGTTTAAGGATTTAACACCCATCCCCATACACACGTGTTATTGTTAAGAAAACAAGATGTGTTTTTTGAAATACTGATCCCCATATGGCAACATAGCAACATTAAACTTACATTATATGCAAATTAAAAATACCGGTACCCAAAGTAGGGTTTGCTCACATGAAATACAATTGTGAAATATAAAAGCCCTAGCACCATCTGTTCAAAACTCATTACCGCTACATTTTTTTCAGATTTTTGACCGATCATTACCGCTACATTTTTCCGGCAAAAAACAACTCATTACCTCTACATATTGAATCAGCCAAAAACAACTCATTTCCGCTACATATCAGTTTAGCCAAGTATGTTCGATATGTAAGTTCTATAATAAACAGTATTTGGACAGTGATTGAAAGTTTTCTTCTATTTGTTTTTTGTTTTTTTTTGGATCCTCGAGAAGTTGAAGAGTGCTTTGTGTTTGATGTATTTCCGAGGCACATTGATCGGTCATCGTCATTTCCACCAGCAATTTGGACAGACGCAGATGTTGAGTGTAAAAGTTTTCACAGAGTTCGGCACAATATTAATGTTAAATATAGTTCACAACCGAGCATTTTTGATTTTTTGGCCAATATTCAGCCTTTCCTGGAAAAAAGTTAGATGAAAATGCGTGCTGTAAGAAACAGGATTCTCTCAGAATTTTATCTATGAACAGTGCTTGATTTTAAATTTTTGTTTTTATGAAATAAAATTGATTTTAATAATAATAAAAAAAAATAATAAACCCATCCTATCCAAAGTCCTACTTTCACCTACCCGTAGTGAGCAGGGGAAACGGGTCTTATGCATGTATAGGTTGTACTGTACACGCATAAGTGGCTGGCTAACGAAAGAGACAATGTAGCAGTAATGTATACTTTTTTATGTAGCGGTAATGTAAATTTTTTTCTAGCGGTAATGACTATGTAGCGGTAATAAAAATTTTGAAAATGTAGCGGCAATGATGCGCACCCGTAATACCCAAGAACTTGGACCCTTTAACATTGACATTGAAGTTTTATCTATTTATTAAAAAATCTTTAACCTTGGCCATAACTTTTGAACAGTTAGGGCTAGAGCTTTCATACCTCACATATGTAATGCTTGTGACATAAGACTTTCTTAATAAACCAACAACTTTTATCCTTTGAGTTTGAACTACTTTTCAAAAACTTGAACCTTGGCCTTAACTTTTGAAGAGGTGGCGCTAAGGCTTTCATATTTCACAGTTGTATTTTTTTTTGTGAGAAGGACTTACTTTGAGTACCAATGTTTTGATTTAGTATTTACATTTGAGAAAATTGAACTGTCCCTATGCTACAAACACATCTTGTTTTCGTATATACGAGGGCCGTTCAAAAATTACGCGGACTTGTTGCACAGAAGAAATATTTGACGACATAATCGGGCAAAATTTCACAAATAATATAAAGGAATCTTTACTTATATGGTCTTCAAAATTTCATATCAAAATGTAAATTGGTATTAATTTTGAGTGATTTTTCAGGACATACCATTAAGTCACGGAGCAGCAAAATCTTCGACGTCACAAGCATTATAAAAAAATATGTGATTGAGCTTCATTTTCTCAACATTTTCCCTTGAGTACCTGTATAGTTTGAGTTACCTTATCTACTCAACATCAAATCACCATTTCTTGTCAAGCTTAAAATCTATTAAACAAGTAAAGAATATTCTTTCTTTTTTGTTTTAAAACCACATATGAGATATAGTGTGATATTGGTGACTCTCAATCACGTTCTTTACAGTCCGGATAAAGTTAACTTTTCGTCTATAATCTTCTTCCTGTCCTCCCGTATAGCCTTTTTACAGAGGTCTAACTGTCTAAAATTTCAATTTGCTATTTGTGGACGAATGTCACGAGTAGCCTATAGTTTACTACATGTTTTATTATGCATATTTTGGATCTTCTCGAGCATTACACATATTTTAACAAAAGTGTGGTGCGCCGTCAATTCAGGAGACGTCATTTTCACAGTCGTTTTCACAGGAATCGCATCAGAGAAAAATCCCTATATTTCTGTCAGTACTTCAAATATTACGTCCGAAATCTAAATACATAATAATAGAACAATTTAAAGGTACACTTGAGAAAATTGTTGAAAAATATCGCGAATTTTAAAAAATCAATGAGTTAAATTTTTGAATCCGCATGCTTTTGCTTCAGTTTTTTTGTCGTGCGCCGTACCTCTCCATCAATGATATCAACATACCAATAATTTTAGTAGAATTTTTTTAAAATACAGAAATTTTGCCCAAAATTTATTGGAATCTTTAAGATACATATTTCTGTGAAATTTTATAACTATATGACGTCTGTAAGATTAAATAATAGCACAGTCCGCGTAATTTTTGAACGGCCCTCGTATATATGTAAGCATATCTAAGTTTTTTCAGGGTCAAAAGTTATTCCTTTAATGAACTCTCTAACTAACACATAAGTACACCTATGTTGTATTTTCTGTTGAAATTCAGTCAGGATGGAAAAGGTTAAGTAATGATTAGCTTTCTGAAACATTTGAGATGGCTTTTCTATAGTATGCTGTTCTTTACTTCATATTTAATGACTCACAAAAAAGACTATGAATATCACTGTGACCGTTGTAAAGATGTCAATGAAATAGTTTTCTTTAGGAGAACATGAAAAATAAAATGCTTTTTTTTATGTCATAAGACTGTTGTTAACATTAAGTAGCAGAATAAGTAGCAGCATTAAACAGATTTAAGCTTGAAGTCCCTGTTGCTAGCATTTAGTGGCACTGTATACATATTCCAGAGTTACTGTCAGCAGTAGATATAAGGTTTTTTTTATCTCACCTCAGCAGAAGGCTCAAGTGAGCTTTTCTGATCACATTTTGTCTGTAGTCCGTCTGTCCGTCCGTCCGCCTGTCTGTCTGTAAACTTTTCACATTTTCGACTTCTTCTCAAGAACCGCTGGGTCAATTTCAACCAAACTTGCCACAAAGCATTCTTGGGTGAAGGGGATTCAAGATTGTTCAAATGAAGGGCCACGCCCTCATTCAAGGGGAGATAATTGGGAATTAATAAAAATTTGGTGGCATGTTTTAAAAATCTTCTTCTCAAGAACCACTGTGCAAGGAAAGATGAAACTTATATGGAAGCATCCTCAGGTAGTGTAGATTCAAGTTTGTTCAAATCATGACCCCCGGGGGTAGGGCGGGGTCACAATGGCCGACCAAATTTTTACATAGAAATATATAGGACAATTCTTTAAAAATCTTCTTCTCAAGAACCACTGTGCCAGGAAAGATGAAACTTGTATGGAAACATCCTCAGGTAGTGTAGATTCAAGTTTGTTCAAATCATGACCCCCGGGGGTAGGGCAAGGCCACAATGGCCGACCAAATTTTTCCATAAAAATATATAGGAAAATTCTTTAAAAATCTTCTTCTCAAGAACCACTGTGCCAGGAAAGATGAAACTTGTATGGAAGCATCCTCAGGTGGTGTAGATTCAAGTTTGTTCAAATTATGACCCCCAGGGGTAGGGCGGGGCCACAATGGCCGACTACAGTTTTACATAGAAGTATATAGGAAAATTCTTTAAAAATCATCTTATCAAGAATAGCAAAGCCATGACTGGTCATGGGACTACTTTTGGATATAAACTATTCAAGAATAATCCAATTTCTGCTTTTTCCCAGCCACAGTGCTCAGGTGAGCGATGTGGCCCATGGGCTTCTTGTTGTTAAGATGGCACTGTTGCTGACATTTCGTGGCACTGAACGTTGTATTAATGCCAGACTTTCAGAGTTACTACCAGCAGTAGAGTCAAATCCAGTTTTCCATTGCTGGATAGTAGATACGGTTTGTCTCTCCTCCCTGATGTAGACCTGTCAGTCAATTCTTGGTGGGGTATCGCTGGATACCGTGTGTACCCCCTCCCTGACTTACACCTGTCCCTGAGTCAGTTCTTGGTGGGGGTTCTTCAGTAAACTACACCGTGTTGTCTGAAGTTTGAGTGAATTGAAGTGATCACTACGATTGGAAAAATGTCGACTGACGTTTTGTAAACTACAACAGTTACAGCAATTTAAGATGTTTCGAAAAGATTGTCTGAATTTCTTGTTCATTAAGCAGTAAGTGACTGGATTACAAGCAGATGATATGTAAGCCAGCATGAAGACAAGAGACAGAGTTAGGTTGGAAAAGTAATCCTTCAAACTCTGTGAATGAAAGGAATTCCACGTTTGCACAACATACAATGGTGTCCAACAGATTAAATATTCTATCACCACCGCCAACAACATACGTATCACCCGTACTTTGGCGGCGCGGCTGCGCTCGGGGTTCGACTGCCGAATCATGCACCGTTGCTCTGGTTTTCTCTGCGGCGTTGATTCCTCACTATTTAAGACCCCGCGTCTACTTTCCACAAAGTTTCTAAAGCTGGAATTATTTAATGACTGCATACTGCCACTGTTGCGCCTTCTGTAAAAACCTACAAAAAAGAAAAGCTTAGATACATTTCAAAACTAGATCTAAAGGGGGTGTGGGGTCCACATCCCCTCCCACAGAATTTGTCAGGTTTATAAAGTTTTGTCTAAAAGTAACAAACAATGACCTAGAAACATCTCCCCAATTTAGAAAACACGGACGCCTCTAAAACGGTAATAAGAATCACCAAACCACCCATCAGAAGAAAACTGACTAAAATTATACAGAATAATTATAATACGGAAAAGTCTATTTATTCCAGTTCATCTATAATACAGAAAAGTGTCGTCTGCTACTAAGCCTCCTTCTTTTTTCCTCCGCCTGGAAGAGGATTTTTTCTTTTGCTTGTCAAAAGATTTCTTAGTCTGGTATGTGTAACCCCCCCCATCCCCCCCCCAAAAAAAGGAACATCTCAGACAGATCAACATTTTCAAATTGGGTTGATTAAATGCAAGGGTTAACAACATTAAGCTTAAATGCATGTACAAACATGAAGGGAGAAGGCTAACAGTTGGAATATTTTTACATATCTTATTTCTGCCGCCTGACCTTTAATAGACGTACATTTTCCTCCTTAAATTTTGTTGGGTTATTCAAGTACTCTATAATACAGAAGATGCGAGACTAAAACAAATTGTTTACCTTACTGAATTTTCTAGGTAACATGCAAGGATTTGTAGTTTGATCTAAGAGTCCTGTCAGATTATCTTGGATTAAGAAGAATGCATCAAATCCGCTTGACTTTTTATGCACCCGGATCGATAGATCGGGAGCGCATATTATTTTTGTCCTGTCTGTCTGTTGTCAGCTTTCTTTAAATTGACATGAAGGTCAATGACTTTGTGACCTTGACTGTGACCTGTATGCTAAAAATAGCCTTTCAGAACCTTCGCCATCACTTTTGAACTATAAGAGATAAAGAATTCATATTTAGTATGCATACTCCCCTAATTAAGTTCTTTCAAATGACACCAAGGTCAATGACCTTGTGACCTTGACTTTGACTTATGAGCTAAACATTGCTTTTACGAACTTTTTTTGCCGCCGGGTGCATAATGCTAGTATTTCACAAACACATCTTGTTTTTTTTTTTGTTTTTGGTTATATCTGCATCTAACCTAATTAATTATTATCAGACTTACTAGTATTTAAAGCAATTTGTCGAAAAACAATTCAGTCAAATTCAAGTTATTTTTTCTGCGACTGTTTAAAAGTTCAGTATCCCTCTATGGTTTTTTGATTATTTTATATTTGTTCACCTCACAGGTCTCGTACACGTGAATATACCAGAGACCGAATATACCAGGGACCAAGCTAGGAAATATTCTTGATCAAATAATATTATTTGTCAAAACTACCCATTTGAATCTGTGTGAAAAGGCTGATACTTATATGCATCATCTTATACATCAATCATCAAATCATTCGTTCACCTAACACACACCCCCCCCGGTCACAAGTTAACTTTACACACTACAATCTTTTTACCATTTGTTCTCTACCCCCCCCCCCCCCCCCCCCCTCCCAGTTACAAGTTAGCATTTTACCATTTGTTCCCTTTTGTGCTGATATGTCCTCATACAATGTTTGTGTGACTGTACCATACGCCACGGACATAGCAATAAGTGGTATCACCAGTAGGAGTAAAACAAGAATCACTGTGTAGATCCGCTCCGCAATATCCGCCACCCACTTCTCCCGGCATGTGTACATTCCGAGGCGCCTATTCTCGTACTTGGTGTGAACTGGAATGGGAATCATGATCACAAACGCCATTCCCCAGATAAACAGGATGCTGCGGTAAGCGTGAGAGAGAGTCTGCCATTTTCTAGACTGGAGGGGGCGGCATATAGCAAAGTATCTCTCCAGTGAAATGGCGACTAATGTAAAACTACTGACCCCTACCGACACTCCTGCAATAAATAAAAAGAAGCAGTGTATGAATTTAGACAAACTATTATTACTCCCGTGAAAAGAAGTCACATTAACAATTTACAATGTATATACATGTATTACTATAGGTGTAGCCACAGGAAAATGAATGAGGATGAGATTTTCAAATTTCTAGACTTTTCTGGAAGAAATAACCGTACCTCGACTATGCCCACCCGCACCCCAACATTTTTTTTCGGGGGGGGGGGGGGGCAGTTAAACACCATTTGTAAAATATTTGGTGTGTGTGAAAAAACAAATAACGAAAAATCTTTCGAAAACAGAGGAATAAAGGGAACAATGGCTTTTTTAAAAACACATTTTGACATTTTCTTTCAATATTGTCAGATGAAGGATTCCATCTAGAATTGTTACGGCTGCACCCAATATTAGATGGGCACTATGGGAAAACGGCAGTCGCTAAAATTGTATTAAATCAAAATCTGACAGTAAGATTTTTTACCATGCATGATGGAATTGCTTTTTTGTTTTTTACTTATTGCCATATACTGTTTGGGATTATCAATAACATTGGTTTGACAAGATTGTCGGTTTGTTATTGACCTTTGGAAATGAATTCTGTTGTCTCACTCTGCTCAATAACAATTCTAATCCAAGAAAATAAAAGGGATACTATTGTCTGCATAACAAAACTAATCAAAGAAAATAAAAGACATACTCTTGTCTGTATTCAGTTTCAGGAATTTTTAAAGGACTGTAGACAAGTAATAAGGAAAGATATATCGATGAAGAAAAATCCATTTTTAAGAAAACGTTTCTAAAAATATGTAAATACCTATTGATAAGAAATAACACTTATTAAGGTAATCGATATCATACATATAGAATAAGAAAAAAAGATTTATTCAAAGCCATGTTCTAAATTTTGTATTAATACCCACCCAGTAAAAAATTTAGAACTCTATTATCTACTCATATTTATTACCCTTTAACAAGGAATTATTTTCAGTATCTATTTAAGATGTTCAGAGGACTGATTCTAAATGCTAAAATAAATGTTCATAATTTAACAAAGCAAATGTTTTCTGTATAAAATATATACTTATGTTTTGTTCAGTGTTCATAGCCGTTTAAATACTTTCCAAAACAATTTGTATTAATTTGGAATTTTTGATCAATGTGAAATTTCTCTCCGTAGTATTTTTCCACCTAGAGAGAGGGAAATTATCCATCATATAAAATCATATTTATTACCCTTTTACAAGGAATTATTTTCAGTATATTTCATCATCACCTAATAAAGATGTTCAGAGGACTGATTCTAAATATAATTTAACATAAGTATCTTTTAAGTACGCTGAATTTGTATGAAATTTCTCTCCTTTTCCACCTAGATGGGGAAAATGATCGTAAAATACAAAAAAGATTACTAAAAATACAAAAAAGATTACAATATTTTTGGATGTCGCTTTGTTGAATATATTTCAGTCTTTTATATATAAAGGCAGTGCGTTATAAGACAATGCCGGAAAGCCATTTAGATGGGAATCTGTACAACATTTGATAAATGTGAATGATACCGTGGCAAGACTAATTTCGTTATTGTAACGCCTTTAAATAGCCGTCAACTTTCGGTCCCTCTGCTTATTATCCGTGATCGTAACTCAAGAAAATCCATTAACTGCGCAGCGATTCCATTGTCCATGCAAATAGTTCTTACACAACATTTCATTTATGTGCAGTTATCTACAGGAAAATATTGAGTAATTTAGAACGCTTTTCCCCTATTGTTGGAATTTCCTTTGATCTTTATGAGCAGCGCCTTTTGTATCCAAATGAAAACGATTTTTGACATATTTTGTTTAATTACATTTACGACTGGTATTCTTAACTTAGAGTACCCCATTAGAGGCATATAGCAATAATAAAAAAAAAATACCGGAAACAACAAATTTTAGCATTAACAAATTGGATTGACCCTATGTTTTTCAACCACATTAACAATCTTAATTTTTAAGGATACCCTTATTTGTGATGGCAAAGAAACAAAAAAAAAATGATTTTTAAGCCGTCACAATGTTTCTATTATTCTTCAGAAATTTCTATTTTCGACTCGTAGAACATAGCCTTCTGTGCTGACAATAAACTACAAGATTTTTTGGAGAAGAGCAGACAATCCAACAAAATACAATTCACATTTATCCTCAAAATGGTGTTGATTAATTTTTACGTTTCAAAATTTTGCGAATTACCACTGCTTTGTTTACACAGAAAAATATAATACCCAAATTTGTTATCTACAGCAAAAATTTCCAGATTTACGGTATTAAGTTTTCTTTTCGTCTTTCATAGGGCTTAGGTGGAGATAAAAACATTCTGTTCTGTCCATGGAAAGAATTTAAATCTGGTCGTTTACTATAGAAAGAAATAACCTTAGGCGTCAATTTGATCAATAAAATCTCTTTCTGGAATTGGAATATTTAACCTTTGCAGACAATTGAAAGCATTCCTATAATTTCAAAAATTTGGTGTAAAATACATTTACAAAAAACAAAACTCGTGGCTTCCTGGCCGATCGGCAAGGGATGCTCACTCCTTCATGGTATCTGATCCCACCTCTAATGTTTAAAAGGTCCGCATTTTCTCTGCTACTGATTTGAGTTTGATTGAATAGACATTTGAGCTTGAATACTGTTTATTACCTCCATACATTTCATTGGTATAAAAAGTTCTTCTGAGATAGGGCTTGATAATGATTACTAGTAATTATTTTGTTAAAATACTTTTATCTCTCCAGATCGGGAAAATAGTATTGTTTTATTATGTCTTCCTCTTTGTCTAAAGTCAGTCATTTATGGTGAGGATACGGTTGAACTCACCATTGCAGATTAAACAGTAATTCTTTAATTAATATATCTTAGCACTTATAAATGAAGAAATTATAAAAGCATGTACTTGATAAAAGGATGGGTCATGACCAGGAATGTTTCAATGTCATTTACACAAGGTCAATGTCAAAATTGTCCTGATTGGGCAGTTTTGACATCATTTGAGTCATTTGTATGCTATAAAATAAAATTAATACTATTGGTGAGACTATTATTGGTGTACGTACACATTGATTTCATAATTCCATCAGTAATATTACCCCACCTACGTTACGTTACTGTCCCTTTATTGCATTGGGATACATAAGGAATCTTACAGACAAGAAAACGGAGAAAAAGACTGGGAAAATATCCCTCATCTGCAATCTCAGGGGTATATCAAGACTTCATCACATTTTATCATCAGTAATAACAGTGTAGTAAAGTAACATGTCAGTCTACGAAAATAGTTTGATAATAATTTGATAAGACGATGTCAAATTGTCTTGTAGAATGTAAATCAAAGCAAGTAATTTGTCTATGAAATTTTGCTGAAGTATGATTTTATAAATTCTACAGTGGCTTTCAAGATTTGTTCCCCTCTTCTATATGTCGTGATAATCAGAATTAATTGAGGTTGACAGACAATCGCCGACGGACTTGAATAAATGACTTGGATATAAACCTAATACCAAATATAAGATAAGAAAAGCTAATAATTCTCTGGCTTCAGGCATCTTTGAGTGTCTGCATTTCATCACCGGAATTTTTAGAAAATAATCTCCTTTCATTTCTGACATTTTTTAAAGTTTTCATTTCCCGTATATCATCAGTATTTTACCGCACTGCAATAAAACAAATTGTCACAGCTATCCTTATTAATAAAAAAAAAACCCATTTATACCGAAATAATAAGTTTTACATCATATATAGATTTTACATGCATCGGAGCACGTGTAGGTGTAATAATCTTGCAATGATATTAATGAAAACGATAAAACATCAGGAAATTTTTAACTGGTGATGTTTGTACATGTATATACATGTCCACGTGCATATTGCAATTTCTTTGTTTAGGAAATGGGTACGAACATAAAATATTTAACATGTATACTAGTATATATGTACAGACACCACGTTTAAACATATACACTAGTATACATGTACAAAAAAAACGTCACCAGTTAAAAAAAATTGTATATACAATGTACATGTCCACGTGTATATTACAATTTTTTTAAGGAAATGTATTTGAAATGGATATTATGTATATATTATCCCGTTATATCCTGCTAAAAATGTCATTTCCATGTACATAATTAAACATTCAATTGCAGAAAAAGCCCCCCCCCCCCCCAAAAAAAAATCGAAAATCCAAAAGTGAAATGATTAATAATTTCAAAAGTTCTGATATAAAATGCAGCGATTTGAACTGAATATTTGTATGCTCTCTTCCTTTCACGTTCTATTTATGTGTGTGTTAAAAAATGGGGGATGGCATTATTATATAGACGTCATGGACGTTGGAACCAGGGTCACTTCAATAATCTTCTAGATACATGTATATAGTATACAATAGAAAAATATAGCTATAATATGCTCGTTCTCTCTCAATTAACAAGTGTACTACCCATTTTTTTTTGTTCGCCAAGAATTTTTGGTGGTTGGTATTGCCCCAACTGAAAATATATGGTTGTGTCCCCCCCCCCCCCCGGAAATTGCTTAAGACGGGCCTTGCGTTTTAACATATGTCTTCACGGCTTACAAGAATCTCTTCTGCAATTGAAGACAGGATACATTGAATTTAAAAAAAAAATACCCATCAAATTGAGATCGTTATCTCTGTTTAAATTAAATAATTTAACTTCTTTCGGTCATGCATGTTTATACATACCTTGAAAGTATCGTGAAAGGTAACAAACTATTGGTCCAAAAACAAAATTTCTCATAAGCATTGGAATGATATTGAAAGGCATACAGAAAAGTGCCAAGAGCAGATCACTGATGGCCAAGTTCAACAAGAAAACGTTGGTCACTGTCCGCATTCTCTTGTTCTGGACAAGGGTTGCAATGACCAGAATATTGCCCAGGAGAGCCAAGACAAATATGACGGCATAACAGACCGCGGCGACTTCAGAACTCAGTGCCTCATGCTGAAGGTGTTCACTGGAATTGTTAAACTCAGAAAAGTTGGAATTATTCATGTTCTGGTCATAAGTAAGTCAGATGAAGCATCAATCACACCAGAAACAAGGTATAGATAACGAGTTTACGAGTGGCCACTTGTTTACTATGATGGAACCCGAGAAGGTGCAGCGGTTACTGATGTTTCCCATTGCTGTCATTGTTTGTGTATCGGCGGGTTATTGTTTCAGACCGATCCGACAAATCGCTCCGCTAATCAATGCCTGAACCCAGGGAATGATCTCCATCTATAACAGATAATGGGACACCTTAGAAAATAACATTCACAGTGAAAAAAAATGATATATTCACTGATCTATTTCATACACATCTTCTAGTTTCTAATCTCCCCGAGTATTCTGCTGGGATATCATTCACAAGAGATTAATCAATTTTCTCTTATTACGATTCCTGCAAAAGTTACTCTCATTTCAATGGAAGATGTAAGACACGTATACATGTACATAAAGGAGATTAGTTTTGAAACAAATGAACTTATCCATTAGATACAATTCTCCAGCCTTAACATCGCTCTATATCTACAAGCTTGATTTTGTAGTCAGAATCATTTTATCAGTTTGTCAAGGTCAAAAATCAAAATTACAAAATGTTCTAGACATTAAATATTGATATTGTACTAGCCATTGAATATAAATTATGCACTAATAACTAATAACTTGTAATAAGCCATTCAATACTGATAATGCACTTGTAGCCATTTAATATTGAAAATGCACTAGCCATTATACATGTACACTAATTCATTCATTCATTGTGATAAAGTACTAGACATTCAATACTGATAACGTAATAGCCATTCAATATTGATAATGCAGTACCCATTCAATATTGGTAATGTAATAGCCATTTAATATTGATAATGTAATAACTAATCACTATTGATAATGTAATAGCCATTCAATATTGATAATGTAATAGCCATTCAATGTTGATAGTCTAATAACCATTCAATATTGACAACGTAATAGCCATTCAATATTGATAATGTAATAGCCATTCAATACTGATAATGTTCTTGCTATTCAATTCAATATTGATAATGCACTAGCCATTTAATATTGATAATGCACCAGCCATTATACATGTATACTGATTCATTCATACATTCATTCATTATCATAAAGTACTAGACATTCAATATTGTAACGTATTAGCCATTCAATATTAATAATGTAATAGCCGTTCAATATTGATAATGTTATAGCCATTCAATTTTGATAATGTTATAGCCATGCAATATTGATAATGCACTAGCCATTTAATATTGATAATGTAATAGCCATGCAATGTTGATAATGTTATAGCCATTCAATTTTGAAAATGTTATAGCCATGTAATATTGATAATGCACTAGCCATTTAATATTGATAATGTAATAGCCATGCAATGTTGATAATGTAATAGCCATTCAATATTGATAATGTTATAACCATTCAATTTTGATAATGTTATAGCCATTCAATATTGATAATGTTATAACCATTCAATTTTGATAATTTATAGCCATTCAATATTGATAATGTGATAGCCATTCAATATTGATAATGCACTAGCCATTTAATATTGATAATGTAATAGCCATGCAATGTTGATAATGTAATAGCCATTCAATATTGATAATGTTATAACCATTCAATTTTGATAATGGCCATTCAATATTTATGATGTTATAGCCATTCAATATTGATAATGTTATAGCCATTCAATAATAATAATGTAATAACTTTTCAATATAATTATATATTGTGAAAGTCATTCAATATTGATAATGCAATTACCCATTCAATGTTGAAAATGTAATAGCCATTCAATATTGATAATGTAATAGCCATTCAATATTGATGATGTTATAGCCATGCAATATTGATAATGTAATAGCCATTTAATATTGATAATGTTATATAGCCATTCAATATTGATAATGTGATAGCCATTCAATATTGATAATGCACTAGCCATTCAATTTTGATAATGTTATAGCCATTCAATATTTATGATGTTATAGCCATTCAATATTGATAATGTAATAGCCATTCAATAATAATAATGTAATAACTTTTCAATATAATTATATATTGTGAAAGTCATTCAATATTGATAATTCAATACCCATTCAATGTTGATAATGTAATAGCCATTCAATATTGATAATGTTATAACGATTCAATTTTGATAATGTTATAACCATGCAATATTGATAATGTTATAGCCATTCAATATTTATGATGTTATAGCCATTCAATATTGATAATGTAATAGCCATTCAATATTAATAATGTAATAACTTTTCAATATAATTATATATTGTGAAAGCCATTCAATATTGATAATGCAATACCCATTCAATGTTGAAAATGTAATTGCCATTCAATATTGATAATGTAATAGCCATTCAATATTGATGATGTTATAGCCATTCAATTTTGATAATGTTATAGCCATTCAATTTTGATAATGCACTAATCATTTAATATTGATAATGTAATAGCCTTGCAATTATGATAATGTAATAGCCATTCAATATTGATAGTGCATTAACCATTCAAATTTGATTATTCAATAGCCATTCAATATTGGTAATGCACTAATCATTCAATGTTGATCATGTTATAGCCATTCAATATTGATAACGTTATAGCCCTTCAATATTGATAATGTAAAAGCCATTGAAATTTGATAATGTAAAAGCCATTCAATATTCTCCCTTGATTTTTCTTAAGTTTTCTTTCGTTCCATTCCATGCATTTGGTTTCGTTTTGTTGATTTCGATCTTGTTTCGCAGTTGACAAGTACCCCGACCAGTTACCTCTATTGAGAAGTTGATGGCTCGTTTAATATACCCCCCCCCCTTCAAGTAGTTTTTTTAGTCAAGCAAGGGAAGGGGATGACGGCCTCTTCCCTAGCAATTGTCAGAAAACATGGTAACTACCATTAGCGGTAACTAAAAGTTATTAAAAGAGTGACTTAGGTTTATTGAGAACAAATAATACATGTAATACCTTTTGTATAATAAAACACTTATCCATTGATAGTGAGTGGGCTCTTTTTTAACACCAAATAATTCAGTTTTGGCAAGTCTCGAAATTCCACTCAGAGACAGCGGATAAATGTATACTGTCACATCGTTTTGTTAAAAATTATACTGAACATAACAAATGACACTAACTAGTATAAAACGGAGTAGTTCTCCCTGAGGTATCTTTTCTGTGTATCGTTGACACAAAAAAGGGAGTAGACATAGAAAGGTGTTGTTGATTCGATAAATATCAGCAACTTCAACACATAAGTTCAGTTTTAACTGAGGGCAATCAAGTCATGCACTCATGTTAGAATCCATTAACGATATGTAAAAGTTGAAGGCATATACACTTGACAAAAAACTAGAATTGCTCATATCATAACCGTCATTGATGCTCTTAAATATAATCTAATAAAATTACATACCTATTTAAACCTTTGAACAAGCCGCAACATACCCCAAGATACTACTAATATTCATATTCAATTTCAAGTCCCTGAAGACGGAGTTATATCGAGAATGGTACAATTTTAAAAACAATTTAACCAACGAACCGTGACCGCATATATTACCTTGTACATACATATTTTAGATTAACTACTAATTTATATTAAAAAGACATGCGTACAGAATTTACTATGCATGTTTTTAAAAGAACATTTATATAATGCTAACAAACAAAAGTTATATGCACTGATTGATATTTGAATTTTCTAAAAAATGATGCATATATGGTAAACAATTGTTGACGTTTTATGACGTTCAAAGAATTTCTTCATAAATTTGTACATTTATAAACTTAGAATGAAAAAAAAAATAAACTTACCCGGTACTTCTTTTTATCTTTTCACCTATGCACAAAGATTTTGTTGTTATTTTTACTGACAGATAAAACTACATAAACTAAAAGGAGAAATTTCAACTGTCAGTGAAAACCGTATAATCTATACACGTTTATCCAGTTAAATAAAACGGGGGTTACTTTTTTTTTTACTTTTCAGTCCACTCATGCCCGCGAGTGGACTCAGGATAGCTGGTGTGGTGAGAACTGTTCGCGGTTAGTGATGTAGTGTCATGATGCAGTCATTTATCTGAAAGTTCCCCATGAGACATCGAATACTGCCAGTATATCACATCCGCATGCAGTATCTTTTAGTTTATACTCACTTTCTTCTTGCAAGTCTTTTTAGGAAACGTTTCCATTTTTTCCATGAATAAAATATTTTAATGACGATCAATATACTTGTATTCCAGGAAATACATTGGAACTGTGAAACATAATTGGTGTGAAAAGATAATGATAAAAGGAATGTACAGGAGAATTAAGAATTTAGACTGTAGAAATAATTAAAAGCAAGAAAAAAATGTTTGCTAAGCTATGCTAACAACAGCAACATTCACTTTAAAATACATGTACCTCAGAGAGCAATCAGGCGCACAAAGCGGGACTCTTTTTGCACTTATTTCGTTTTTTGAGATTTTTTTGTGTTTATTACAAAGTGACGTATATTTCGTCAATCGTATATCATGTATAATTTGAGGTAAACAAGAAATGGGGCTCCAGCAATACACCTCATGATGTTACTTGCATTTGTTTGTGCTTTACGTGAACAATGTTATCCTCAGGTGTTAACAATTTATCAAATGCCTAGGGAAAAAGCTAAGAACCAGTTTTGATTCATTTTAAGGCTAACTTTTCTGCTTGTTGGCACGTACGTAGTATCAGGTAGGGGTGGGGATGCTTCCAAAGTCCAAACATGTTTGTCTTTTACTTGTAATGGTTAGGGCCGTGGATATCGGCCTGGATAGCTCAGTTGGTAGAGCACCTGACTAGAGATGCAGGGGTCCCAGGTTCGATTCCCGGTCCAGCCATACATTTTCTCCTTTTCTGTTACAGATTTGGTGCCGTGCCATGCCCTGGAATTGACAGGTGAAAGACCTGCCAGGGATGAGCCTGGGTTGGGGTCTTTGGAGGGCCAAAGACCTTTAAGGAGGGAGGAATGTAATGGTTAGGGCCGTGGATACCATTTGGTAGAGCACCTGACTAGAGAAGGGGTCCCCATGCCATACATTTTCTCCTTTCCTGTTACAGATTATTAAGGAGGCTGGGGGTCATCAAATTAACCACAAATTAACCACCAGATTTAACTTATTTTTTTTTCCTGTCAACTATCATTTGGCAAAGAAAAAATTCATACATTTTAGTTTTAAAATTTGATCATTTTTGAATATCTTTATATGGAGCTCTTCTTTTAAAGGAGATTGAAATAGTTTGAAAATGGCTGTCACCCCCCCCCCCCCAGCCTCTTTAAGGTCCGGATTCTTTTTAAGGGATAGTACCATTTTAGTACCATTTTAACAAGGTCCATGTTTTCTATGGGGTCCAAGGTTTTTTTTTTTTAATTTTAGTCAGTATATAATTAAAATAACTGCAAAATCCAGAGGGGATCTCTCCTGGACCCCCACCTTCTAGATCTGCGCATGAAATAAGGGATGGGGTGGGAGTAAAAATTGAGAAGCTACATAATGTCTGGAAGCTTTCCGAAAATGAGTTTCATCTTTCCCAGTACCCAAGGATGTTTTGTGCCAACTTTGGTTAAAATTTGACCAGTGGTTTCTGGGAAAAGGTCGACATATTGAAAAGTTTAGAGACGAAAGGACAGACTCAGGAGTACAGGCGACCATATAGAAAAGCTCTTTTGAGTTTACAGCATGTTGAACTTAAAACTGATACATGTTCATGCCCTGCACTGGTGTATCATAATGGGAATCGGATAAAACTTTAGGAGGAATATCTGCAATATCAGTTGAAACGTTTCTGACAATACTTTTTATCGTCCTCGAATTTATATAGCAATCGTGGCAACATCGAATCGTAAAATTGTAGAATTATGTATACAGTATCAATATCTTGACATACATGTAGTCTGCTTATATGCCAAATATTGAAATCGATACAAAAGAAAAGCATAAAATTTATTATTTTATTATTATTTTATTCATTATTTTCTGAAATAAAATATTCACGGAGGGAGACCTACAGTTTGACAGGCAAACAATAAGTACTTAAGGAAGTTGACCAGCATTTTGAGTTCTGGTTTTAGGACAAGAGAGCTAAAAAATAACGTGATGTCCAAACTTCACAGCCGGATAACTAGCGATTTAAAATTTACAACTTACTGACTCCTTGATCATTATTTCGATAGCATAATCACACTGTGGTCGACTTTCCTTCCGCTAAATGAAGTTTGAAAGGAAAAAAAATCATAGAGAATATTTGATGGATTAGAGTATCTTAAAAGGGAGAAATGGTTTGGTTCTGATTAAATTAAAGAACATCAGATCGATATTCATTACCGTATTATAAAAAAGCTGAGCTTAGATGCTCCGTCAACAATAAACTTCATTTTCTTTTCAAGCCAGAAAAATATTTTGACAATACATAAATTAAATCAAGATTTTTCGGTTAGTGTGTGTAAAATTACTGTTTCACGTCCCACGGAGCTGATAAAAAGGTCCATTAAACGCTTTGCTTCTCTCTTCATTTTCACATTTTATAACATTACCTCCTCATAATTACCTTTCATAACTTTTTTTACACTACATCTTGATCTTGTCACGACATTAGTAATGAAAAGATCAAAGATAAATAATATCCTTCAAGAAAATTAACAAAAGTCCAAAATATCAGGCAATAAATGGACTTATTTACGATCCCTGGGACAGTGTAACACCAATTTAAATTCCTTATGTGGACCAAACATATCAGTCTGAATGTGACCTATATTGTCTCAGAGAATTTTCATTGGATGCATACCTGGGCCCAAAATCATAAACTGAGAACAGACTTAAGTCAAAATTTCAAAACAATATAACTTTCGAAATAATTTTGATAACAAAATAAAATTTTCAACATATGTTTCAATTCAAGTATTTTGCACAGCTGCAAACTCCTAAGCTAATACATCAAATGGAACTGAGGATATTAAAAATTAAAATTTTGACTTATGTCTATTCTCATTTTATGGTTTTTGGGCCTGGTATGTATGGATAATAACACAATTTTGAGGCTATATGCATACATTTGCTGGAGAAGTGAATAAAGTTTAGGAAAATATTTTCATTAAACAGCATTTTTTTAAACAAAGATGCATGAATTGTATGTAAAGGATATATGGATATTTGTCTATGTATAGGGCGTATGGATGATGTTTTAAAATATGGATAATGTGTAAAGGATGTATAGAGAATATCTGTAGGATGTGTGGACAAAGTGTAAAGGATGTATAGAGAATGTCTATAGTATGTGTGGATACTGTGTAAAGGATGTATAGAGAATGTCTGTAGGATGTGTGGATACTGTGTAAAGGATGTATAGAGAATGTCTGTAGGATGTGTGGATACTGTGGAAAGGATGTATAAATAATATCTGTAGGATGTGTGGACAAAGTGTAAAGGATGTATAAAGAATGTCTGTAGTATGTGTGGATATTTTGTAAAGGATGTATAGAGAATGTCTGTAGGATGTGTGGATAATGTGTAAAGGATGTATAAAGAATGTCTGTAGTATGTGTGGATACTTTGTAAAGGATGTATAGAGAATGTCTGTAGGATGTGTGGATAATGTGTAAAGGATGTATGGAGAATGTCTGTAGGACCAGTGGATAATGTTTAAAGGATGTAAAAGAGAATATCCGTAGTATGTGTTGAAACTGTGTAAAAGAAGTATGGAGAATGTCTGTAGAATGAGTGGATACTGTGTAAAGGATGTATAGAGAATGTCTGTAGGATGTGTGGATACTGTGTAAAGAATGTATGGAGAATGTCTGTAGGACGTGAAGATAAAGTGTAAAAGATGTATGGAGAATGTCTGTAGGACGAGTGGATAATGTGTAAATGATGCATGGAGAATGTCTGTAGGACGAGTGGATAATGTGTAAAGGATGTATGGAGAATGTCTGTACCTAGTGAATAATGTTTAAAGGATGTATAAAGAATATCTGTAGGATGTGTGGATAAAGTGTAAAGGATGTATAGAGAATGTCTGTAGTATGTGTGGATACTGTGTAAAGGATGTATAGAGAATGTCTGTAGGACGTGTGGATAATGTGTTAAGGATTCATGGAGAATGTCTGTAGGATGTGTGGATAAAGTTTAAAGGATGTATGGAGAATATGTAGGATTGTGGATATTTATAGGATGTATGGAATATGCCAGTAGGGCGTTTGGATAAATGTTTTAAGGAACTGTGGATAGTGCCGGTAGGGGCTAAGAGCGCGTGAAATATCGATAGTGCCTATTTGTAGGATTTATGTTTAATGTTTAAGGGATGTATGGATAGTGCCTGTAGGATTCCTATCCTTTTACATGTTCCGGTCATTTTGACCTCTTTTTACTCAATGAATGATTTAATTAGAGGAACGTGATTTGTCTTACAATGTCTAACAATGATCAGCCTTTTAAGAATGACAATACTGAGGATAAATTTAAGACCATTTGCCTACAGCCTTACATCAGAGAATTTTGGTGCTTCGGATGCCTCTTATATATACATGTGTAACACAGAATTATGTAAAAATTTCTTCTCCTATACATTCTTTGATATAGTCTAAGAGAGATAATTCCCAATCCCAGTACCTTTTCAGAGTAGCTGTATTTCAGAGCCGTATAAAGGTTCTTGTTGAGGTGGATGATGTAAGATCGGTCGCGGAATGTTCTTGTAATAAAAAAATTTTGACTAACGCCTTCTCCATTAAATTTCAAACCACTCGAGACAAGGAGTTTATCCTGGAACATCCAGAATACCCAATATATAGTTTATTTTAGAAAATCTTCAAAATTCACAAAACCAAATACGTTTATGAATAATTCATACAATATCTTATTTTTTCTGAATTTAAGAGATGTCTTTGGGGAAACGTTTTTAGACCTCTTCTAATAAAAATAAATGTCGCAATGATCAAGAAAAAAAAAATACATAATATTTCTAAAAGAAATTAAGCGTTTAAAATTTTCAAACGTTCAAATTTAGATTTTCATTTTCAAACACTGTATATATTCGAATTATCATAAACGATATCTTGATAAATAATCAATTTATTACATGCATGAATATGTACAATCAAAGTGATATGCATACTTGTATTATTTATGCATATTATTAAGTTTAGGCCTACTCGTAATATATATGCAGGCCCCGTAGGAAGCAACTATTCCGGGGGTTGGGGGTGGCGGGTTCTCATTTAACGTAATATTTTGGGAAAAAAGTGAAAAACAAATATACAAAGTATTGACTTCTTATAACACAAGTGAGAAAAAAAATTGATGTCGTAAAGATAATGTACACAAAAAAAGCACAGTTTAATCTAAATCGTCTTTTAAAAGGCGAAAACTACATAAAATTGTTCCCTTTTCCTCCCTTTTTCAACCCAACACGCAAAATTTAACATTCTTCAATGGAAATCACTTAAATAATAATATAAATATCAATATATAGAGTAAACATCTGAATAATAGAGAATTAAGAAAACTTCATTTACCTTAAAGCTAGACAATATTGCTCAAAGAAAAGTGCCTTCAGTGCTTGCTGTCACGGATTCCGCATTTGGTCTGAAAACCTAAATAATAAGTTGACAAACCCAAGGTCTCTTCTTCTCACAGGTAAAAATGTATATGTACAGAAAATGTTACAGGAAATACTGTCATTTCCGCGAGTATGAAAGAAGTCACAAATCTTGTTCATGTTTGGAATAATTAAAATGTAGACTGTAATAATTGTGTTATAGAGTAGATTTCTCCAGATAAGAGTTCAGTCACACAACAGACTAACTAAACTTACCACGTAATCCGAAACAACAAAATAACAACAACAAAAAATATGCGCATCGAAAAAGTTGTATTCAAGTCTTTGAAAAAAAAAAAGCCACACTTACGCATAGTTTTTTTAATTTGTGTACAATGATATTGAAGATAAAGAACAATATAATCAAGCTCAAAAGTCCTTTGAAATAAAAAATCGGGAGCAGAGCAAACGCGGGACTCGAAAAACAACACAAGGGGGGGTCAAGTGCCAAGTGGAGGAGTGAGCATCCCCTATCGACTGGTCAACACTACCGTGGTGCTCCTTGCCATGACCAGACAAACGGACAAATCCGTAGATAACCCACTCTGTAATAGTGCCCTAACAATCGGCATGAAAAACGTCAGTGTTGTATTTTCTAACATGGTCATTGTATCGACAACAGAACTTAGAAAATTCTGATCTTCAACAAGACTGTTGAGAATCTTGTTTTATCAACTTGTTTGTCAATATCTTGCCTTGTAAAATAAAAGGCCTTTTTGTAGAAAAGTATTCAACTATGAAACAGATGTGTCAGCCTCTTAGTATTTTTTATTTCAAATTTACTGCAACATATGAATGGAAGTATCTACTGGTAACTGATAATGCATCCTCGATATATGGTATTTAAATGTCAAGTTGTATGCACGACCAGTTTTAATTTTCTCTTTCTCATGTATTTTCGGACTCTTGCAGATGAAAGAAGGATACCCCAATTCTAAAGAAATGAAAAAAAATGTTTATGTTTTGCTATGGGAAACTCCAAATATGTCTCTAACCAAAAGATAAAATAAGAGGTTCACAATGACACTATGCCATATAGATTCTTTGAACGTCTCACTGAATTTTATCGTTTCACAGGATGAGCTCCTGATGAAATACTGGTACCTCCAATGTTATAGAAAGAATGATAGTGTTGAATTTTCTTACATGTCAGATCAGACCACATATAGATAGGAGGTCCACAATGGCACTATGTAATACTAGTAAACATTCTGTCGATGTCTTATTGGATTTTATTCAGTATTATGGGAGAATTTATGGATATTAGATGGGTTCTCCCAAGAACTAACAGACATACGTTTTTAAGTGGGGGTATAACAAATGACATGGTCTATACCAGTTTTTAAGGTGGGGGTATATTAATAAATGACATGGTTTATACCAGGGGTTTACCTTTATTGTGGCTTTATCAGAACATTCAAAATCACAATGGATGCTGATATAAAAAGAAAGACAACTCTATAAATCAGCTGATTGGATTGTATTAAATAACAATAACACGCTGGATTTTGATTCATACAGTGACATCATATCCAGCACACTAATACCCTAAACATTCACAAACATCATCAGGAGAAAATCTTATTCAATGTAAAATGAAATGCATGCAGAATTGAAACAAAAAAATCAGACTCAATATTTACAATAAGTTCATATCATATTGCTCATAGAATAAATAATTCCTCTACGATCTAAAGGTTCAAATTTAAAAATTTGTATCTAAAAAAAATTAGATTATTCCTCTACATCAAAATTAAAGTTTCACATACATGAAATTTGAATATTATCTTTGATACTTTGAGTATGTTAATAAAAAAAAAATCATAAAAAATTATTATTGACATTATTTAGCTAATAATTATATCATTGTTTTTCAAATATTGTGAATAATTGCCAATCACAAAATCGCAAAATTTACTCCAATAATTTTATAGATATTTTTTTTTTCATCCAAATATTAAGTAGACATTTCATTTTGAAAATTGTCTTATGGAACAGTACATTTCTCAACTCATACCTAGAAAATTTAACACTTTGTTTTAATTACTGGAACATTATTTGAGATCAGTTTCATATTGTAAATATCATTTTCTCATAAATAATGCATGTACATGTACAAGCATGTGTAACTCTATTTAGCTAGTCCCAAATTACAATACTAAATCATTACTTCAAACAGACATGGCTACACGTTTATAATTCATTAATTATTTCACAAGGGTCCAGATTCTCTATAGTATATATCGCTTCTTGCAAACGAAAACTTTGGACTTCCTTTTTGACAGATTAACAATATCAGATTATGCATTACATCTGACAAAGCTGTATGAGTCCTGCTATATACTGAGGTACTGGTGTGTCATTAGTGTCTGACAATGTTGTTTGATTCCTGCTTCTGAGGTACTTGTGTGCCAGGGTTTCTGACAAAATGGTTTGAGACCTGCTTTGTGGTTCTGGTATGTCATGGGTGTCTCCATATATTCTCAAACATTCTTAATATCCATGTGGTGATTTCGATTTGTCTGAAAAAAAATATGTAAAACCTTTAAAGACTTGTAACAATATGAGCTTATATTTTCACATCAGAAATATTTTTATAGTACATGTATTGTGATTATAAATTAAAGGTGTTTTTGTGTTAGAAAAAATAGAGACAGCTCCAATGAAGAAAGACGACATTAATGTCTATCTGTACAAAAATACCCTCGTATATTTCTTATGGACAAGTAATACTTAGCATTCCTTATAACAATTTTTTTTTCTTCTGAATAACATTTTTGTCTTATAGATAATAGAGTTTAAGTTACATGTACATGCAGCATAGGCATAATAGCATTTTAAATTAAAATTTACAGAATTCACAAAAATCTCTGAAAATTCAGGTAACACTGCTTTAACAAATTTAAACAAAGAATCTATTGTGATTAAAAAATAAACATTATGAAAAAAAAAAACCCATCTGCATGGACTAGATGTATTATATATTTAAACCAATTTTAACTGAATGTCTTGATATATGAACAAAGCATCTTCACAAGTTTCTTTATTTTTTCGCGTGTGCTGTCTTGTAAAATCAATTCCAGGTGACAATCCTTATTTATCTAAATCATTATCTATTCAAAATAAATACAGTAAAACACAATTAAAATGAAATGCCAGGTACTGACGATTTTGCTTCGTAATTCATTACATCCATGAAGTTTATAATTTATTTCAAAGTCATGGGGAATGAAAATCAATTTATGCATCAATTTAAAAACCATTGTACGAATCAATTAATTATGAGCATGCTTGCCTTAAGATTGTTTTACTGTGTTTATCATAAAAATAGGTTTATTTAGAACAACCTTCAAAATAGAAATTATAACTATGAAACAGTTTTCAATGTTTTCGAAGTCCACCAAGAGAATTCATGGGGATTTTTTTCCCAAGTCTTTTTTGCTTTACTACAAGCCAAAATCATATCCTATTAAAGATTACCAGGTATGTAGAAAACGTTACTTCATTTTTTTTTTTAGAGGATCTTTAACTGACAAACTAGAGCAAAAAAAAAAAAAAAATAATTATAATCTCTCATCATCGTGACTGAAAACTAACAATACAATGAATTTAAAAAACAAATAATTACGACATCATAAATGAATCCATAAGTGCACATTTCAGGCTCCCTACTCTAAGGTTATTCAATTACCAGTAAATACAATAGAATGATTTTGCAAAGAAGGAATAAAAGCAGAACTTGCCAGGAGGCAGTGAAAATGTTACAACATTCCCATGAAAACAATAAAAGAAGATCAAGTACATTATATACAACATAAAAGAACATTGCTGCTGTTGTTTACTAATAGAATATACATGTAGGTTAACTTTGTTATGTCAAACTTCGATATCTCAAATACCATGGATATTTCAGAGAGAGTTAAAAGTCCCAACTTATATTCTAAATTAATTGTAATCCCAATATCTAGAATCCTCAGGCTTTTTTTCTTGGCCTCACTGAATTACAATGTGCAAGAAGGATCTAACCCGAAAACTGATCAATACCCCCTCTTTCTATATACATGTATATATTTTAGCAAACCAAATCACAATATCAAGAAAGTATTTTCCCAACATTACAGGAGCTCAATGTATCAATATAATGTTAAAATATCCTATGGCAGGTCAATAACTTTTTTTACTTTTAAAATGCACCAAATTCCCGCCAAACCCAAATCATTCGTTTGCATTCTGTTCTTGTTTGTGACTTGTGATTTTTTTTGTTTGTTTGAAATTACTAAACGAAAATAAAATTGTCATGTGCAGATTATTTCATGTGACAGTTGTGCAGTATGCAGAACAAGTTACATAATTTGCTATCTAGGGTTAGTGTTACATACAGTGAAGTCAATGTGGCAACAGATCACGACCCTAAGACACAGAAGAAGTACCAGACAAGGACATTACCTGAGTACTGGCTGTTGTTGAAGGGATGGTGCAGAAGAGAACTGCTAGTGTATGGGGGGTACAGCCCTGTAACGCCATCAGAAAGCAAAGCGTGGGTTAGACATTATACAGCAGCATCAAATAACAGTCACTGGCTAAATGATATCACAGGTCTCAATATGATTGTTAGATATACATATAGGCAACTGATGCTCTTATTACTGGAAGTTTTAAGACATGGAGAAAAGCAAAGTGCAAAGAAAGATTTATTATCAGAGGAAGTTTCTAGTAATTAAGAAATGAATTAGCTTTTGAATGACTACGTAATCAAACTTAATTTGAAATTGTTTGCAGAATTGATTTTAAACAAGAAATCTTTAAAACCATTATCTTTATCATGTAATGGTACTTTTTTTCTTTTCTGAAATGTTTTTTCACAATACTACCTTCAAAAAATAAATTCAAGTGTGGTTTGAATTTCATGTGCAATAAATTTACATTAAAACACAAGTGTTCACATAGTTTAATTCCTGAAAGTTTTGTTAACCAGCTGTGCAGAGACACATAAACACACAGATTTATGTAATGATAAACTTCTGATACACTAACGATATTAGACGGTGCACTTGCTACATGTATAACAAGATATGATAAACACTTTTGATAAATACAGGTGAATTCTTACCTGGATGAGGTTGTCTTGTCTGAAGTAGGGGGTTCGGCATGCCAGGTAACAGGGGGCTAGTGGGAGGATACATACCTAAAAAATTTTTTTATAAAATCTTATAAAATCTTCTCATGTGATTGAGCATTTAATTCTGAAAATTTCTTTATATGCCATAAAATCAATGATTTTTTTTTTTTTTTTAAACATGTATATGAAATGATTTAAAATAGAAAAAATGACAAATTAATATTTCTAATTTTACAAAAATAAATAACTTGTACTATAATAATGAATGTACAAACCACCAGGGGACACAACTGAGGGAGGAGGTAAACTGGAGGAGGCTGCTGATTCCCTGGAAAAGTTGGAGAGTTTCAGGGTCTGGTACCCAGGAGCAGGGTTAGGGAGCGAGGGACTTATCATTCCTCCAACAGTGGACTTATGCTGGACAGTGATGGGGGGCACATTCCAGTTCTGGGGGGATATCCGCTGCTGGGGTGAGGATTTGTTGTACACAGAAGACGGGGATACAGGTTTCCCTTGGTAACTGGTGGGCGAGATCTGTTTCACTTGGGAATGTGAAGAAGATGATTTAGAGGCTTGGGAATTAATCATTTGTTGGATGAGCTCAGCAGTTTTACTGTCCATTTTAGGAATTGGATTACTAGGGGACACTGAACTCTGTCCTGCTGGTTTTTGAACTTGCATAGGTGATGTTTTTGACACTGAAGACATTTTGTTTTGAGAGGCTCCCTGACCTGAGGGGGCACCTGCTGCGGCCTGGACGACTCGCCCTGTACCTGTGGTATTGAACAGAGACTGGGCTGGCCGACTGCTGGCTGAAGACGAGGGATACATCACTATTGTTTTTATTTTATCACTTTTTGGTTCTGAGGTTGACGCTTTCATCATTCCACTAGCACCATGCATAATATTGCTAGGAGTGTTTGGTTTGTTAGCATGTGCTGGAGGTAGATTTACTCCACTTTCCATCAGGAATTTTCTATATACATCATCACTTATAGTTGGTCGTTTTGTATTGGGAGACTGGGCTGGTAAGCTTGTCTGAGGTTTGCTTTGATGAGCTGGAGGGGCCATCGTTTTGACCTCTGGTTTGACCACCCCCTGATGGGAGAAGGCTGGGGTGACAGGTTTTGCCTGATGAGCAGCCACTGACTGGAGTCTATTCAGTAGCTGCTGCTGAGTGTAAGATTTAGTCTCTAGTGTTAAATCTTTCTTTTTGGGACTAACTTCCTGAGTTTTTCCTGCTTCCTCTGACAATTGTCTCTGAATCAATGGGGAAACAAAAGTCTGAAATTGTTCCATGTATGATTTGCTGCTAGCATTAGATTGATCAGATTTCTTCTTGCTGTCAGGTATTTGAGGAGTGAGTGATGCCCTTAGTATGTCATTGACCTCGTGACCCCAAGATTTGTCTAGGTATTTCTGATTGGCTGCTGACGAGGCCAACAGGGACAAAGCATCAGAGGATATATTCACTTCTCCGAGTTTTGATGATGATCCAGATTGCGGAGAAATGCTAAGTTTAGTCGCAGACTGTGGAGAAGCACTAAGTTTAGACGTAGACTGCGGAGAAACGCTAAGTTTAGACACAGATTGAGGAGAAACATTAGGTTTAGCAGGTTGTTTTCCAGCGTAGTTATGAACAGCCAGGGGGTCAGGCTTTGATGATTGACTGGGTACTTCCATCTTCTCTTTGTTAGAATTTTCCTCTGCTGGGGGATGGAGAGAGGAGGATCCTGGTACAAACTTAGAGGTGGTAGATGACGACTGAGAGTTTTGTGTTGACTGCATGGAAGAGGTTTTGTTTACTGTCAAATTTGCTTGCTTCTTCACTTTTTGTCTAAAAAATGACAATTTTTACAATGTAATTTTTAAGAGATGAATCAGTACATAAAACTTGAAGCAGTAAATTATTATCAGAAAATCTGAGCCTTATTCCAGAAGAAATTATCACTTGGTACATGTACTTACACATTTGTCCACTGTAAGTGAACTGCTCTGCTCTCTTTTATCAAATTCCTGAAATAAAGTCTTGAAGTTAATATCAATGTATCTTAAAACAACAGGTGTGTGTTAAACACAGACACACTGAGAGTGGATATTTCCATTGAAAAAAAAAATGAATTGAAAGGGCTGAATAAAATAAAATACAAAATATATATAAACTGCTCAATTGGATCTACTGCACATATATAATAATAATAATAATAATAACTAGAGCAAAGCTCGTTGCAAAGCAACGAGTAGGTCTTCCGTCCTGTTTTGACCGGAAGTGACGTCAACAAAAGAAAGCAATGAGCTAAGTTGTGTCCAGTCACTTTATAATTTCAATTTTGCATCAAAACCTTTAAAAATAAGCTTTGTTTGGCTACTTCCGGTTTGACCGCAAGTGATGTCGACGGACAGAAAATTACGTTTTATGCTTCCAGTGACATTTGTGATCCAAAAACTTGTCAAGAACGGTAAAAATATGCATTTTCTAACGACTTCCGGTTTGACCGGAAGTGACGTCGCTGGACGCATTTTGACGACTTCAATAGATTTAGCTTGACATTTTGAACAACTTTGCTTCTTGGACGTATTACAAATTCTCAATACTTTTTGAGATATCTGGAAAAAAATTTTGGACCCTCTAGATCCCTTAATTTAGGGGTCAGCCCTTTTTCCGAGATATCATTTGAAAGATCTTCTAATTCTGCACAAATTTTGTTCTATACGTTTTAACAAAATATTTTTAGTTTAGAGGATAAAAAGCAAAATATGAGTAATTTTTAGCTCTTTTAAGCGTTCTAATTTTTGACCCCTATATAGCGCCATTTTGAATAGAGAAATCGAAAAACAAAAACCGATGTGCACAACTTCAATCCTTCTATTATCTAAAATCAGTAGAATTTCTGCTCCAGCTTTAGCCGTCTCTGAGCCTTTGTCTGGAAACGAAAGCCTATAAATTTTCGTTTAAAGGGAAATAACTCAAAACCGGAAGTGACTTTTTGAAATTTTCGACAGCATTCTGATAGAGTTTAGTAACTTCTAGAACCTCTGAAAATTTGAGTGAAATCAGTTTAGAAATGAGTGAGATATGAGGCTTCAAAGTTGGCATCTAGGAAGTAGAAGAAAAAAAAAAAAGAATAATAATCTTTACCAACAGAATCAGTACAAGGTCTTCCGTTGGAGATGGAAGACCTTAATAATAATACTTTATTTTAAGAGGGTAACCTGATTAGTGCAATGCACTATAAGCATGTTCACAATAATACAATAATAAAATCATTGTACAATAATAAATAATACAACATGATGTAAAAATACAAGTACATATAGATTTCAGGAGATTTTAGTTGCGGCACGCTATAATAAATTTTTCTACATTTTTACGAAATGTGTGTAAATTCTGTGAAAAACGTATGTACAAAGGTAATTTGTTCCATAAATGAACACCGGAATAATGAAAAGAATTTTTAAATTGATTTGTTCGATATTTCGGTAGATGAAGGTCATAGTTTGTTTCAGATCGTAGAGCATAATTACTAGAAGACATAAATTCAAAAGAGTCTCTTAAATAAGTAGGTGCCATACCATGAAGTGTTTTGTACAGTAATATATATTTATGAAAATCGATCAACTCGTAAATAGTCAGCCATCCAAGTTTTTCGAATAATGGTAGTGAAGGGGCATCATAAGCCACATCAGTATAATATGGGCTGCCCTTTTTTGCAATTTAAAAACTCTATCTATGCCAGCACCTGGCGCATTACCCCAAATAGTTAGGCAATAATTCAAAGAGGGCAGAATGTATGCGTTATAGAATAGTTTTCTTGTGTGTAAGGGAAGGAATTTTTTAATTTTGCGTAAGGTATATAATTTATATGTCAAAGATTTACAAACTGAGTCAATATGGTGATTATAGCGCAATGAACCATCAATATGTACGCCCAGAAGTTTTTCAGATTCAACATTTTCAATTAATTTGTTTGAAGCATATAAATTTAGTTCAGGTGAATCTATTCTTGATTTTCTCTGCTGAGTTCCCATAAGCATACATTTTGTCTTATTGGTATTTAACACCATTTGATTTTTGGAACACCAATGCCCGTGATCTTCAATCCTTGGGCAATATGACTTTGAGAGTTTTTTTCTTAAAAAGTGTTTAGTTGAACAATGAATTTGGCTGAAGAGCTGTTTAGATTTCTGCCCTACCTAGTTTGCATCCATCCCTTAGGCCAGAGTGGTTTAATGTCTTTGTCTAGGAACTGTTTAAGGTATTCCTCCGCTGATTGTGTCTTAGTTTTCATTAGGTCAAAACTCTTCATCTTGATACGCACTATATCACACAGTAAAGACCTAAAACAAATGCATTTGATTTTGAAATTATTAGTATCAGTGTTATCAATTTCGTTGCAAGTTGAATAAATTAATTGAAGTCATCTGATGACTTTGTAATCAAATGTTGATCGGTAAATAATCAAATCAGGCACAACATTTCACATACATCGTAGAAGCTTGATTTTATAATAATGTAATTAAGACTAAAACAAAACTCACCTGAGTAGCTTTGACCATGCTGTTCTTTACCAAATTTCCCCCTTGTAATACATATTGTGACCCCAACCTACTACATGGCTCATAATTTGGACAATTTAAAATCTACACTACCCCAGGATGCTTCCATATAAGTTTCAGCTTTTCTGGCCCAGATTTCTCGAGAAGATTTTTAAAAGTATTTTCCTATATATTTGGATGTAAAACTTTTATTCCTTGTTGTAGCCCCGTCCTATCCCAGGGGGTCATGATTTGAACAATTTAGAATCTACACTAGCCCAGGATGCTTTCATATAAGTTTCAACTTTTCTGGCCCAGTGGTTATTGAGAAGAAGATTTTAAAAGTTTTTTCCTACATATTTTTATGTTACACTTTGATTCCTTGTTGTGGCCCTGCCCTATCCCCGGGGTCATATTTTGAACAATTTAGAATCTACACTACCCCAGGATGCTTCCACATAAATTTCAGCTTTTCTGGCCCAGTGGTTCTTGAGAATAAGACTCTTTGATGAGCCCTCCCTATTTTTGTCTTTTCTTGATTATCTCCCCTTGTGAAGGGACTAGGCCCTTTATTTTAAAAATTTTAACTCCCCTTTACCCAAGGATGCTTTGTACCATGTTTAAAAAATGTGAAAAGTTTAAGACGGACGGACAAAATGTGATCAGAAAAGCTTTATTGAGCCTTCGGCTCAGGTTAGCTAAAAATAGTTCCTAGATTTTAATCTCATTTTTTTAAATCAATGCGGGCATACTTAATTTGTTTTTTTCTATTGTACAGTTTTTTTCTTAACATGATCAATTGGTGCAAGTTTATCTATTAGTTTCTTTAGTCGCTCCTCCCTTGCTGCCCTTTGCTCTATTTACACTAAATAATAACTGCTCCCTACCTGATACTTTCTGTCCAGATGAACTTCCTCCTGGGACCTTTGGGTGCCCCTCTCTTGCTGCCCTCTGTTGTCTTCTCCTCGTCACTGTCCTCGGTGTCATTCACGCCCTCTTTAGGACCCTGTTCCTCTTTTGTCTCCTTCTCCTCTTTTTGTCTAGAAATTATATTTTTAATTACTGTATGTTCACCTTAAAGGAACTGTGTAATATCTATATAAAAAATTTCATGGCTTCAAAACAGCAAGCGAGATTAAAAAATTTCTATTTTGTGATTTTCTATTTTTTAAATTTGTAGTCTACTTGGTAAATTACAAAGTAAGAAGACAGTAAGTGTCTCTCTAAATTCTAGTGCATTATATATAAAATTACATGGGGAGAATTACGTAATCTTGCCAAGAAGAAAGGTTTAATATTACTCCAATTTCTTTAATACTTAGTAGAACATTTTTTTTAGTTCTAGTCGCATGAGAAAGTACTCTCCCTTAGCTAGACTTACTTCTGTAAAAAGGTTTGGTATTCTTGCTCATGTTTTGCCTGTAGTGCAGGCATCATTCCATTTATGGCTGAAATCAAAATAAGAATATACAAGTCAAATTCATGCTACATGCTCTCAGAGTTGTTGTACCTGTAGCCCTCTTTATACAGCTTTCCGTTTGTGTTTTTTATATAATTTTATTTGCCGATACATGTAACAAACCTTCTCTGAGTTTCTGCACCGGTTCCTTGAGCTGGTCATCCTGTTCAGACTGTTGCAGCTTCTTGGCTCGTTTTAACAAGGTGTCTTTAGAGCAGGGCAGGAAGGCAGCCAGATGGCTGAAGATACTGGACCTCTGACCACAGCTCCCCCAGCGCCGGGAACCCGTCTCCACACTGAAAGGTAACAAAAGGAGGCTCAAATATATGTATTTATCACATATAATGTCTTTCAAAATGATGGGTGACACTTACTCTAAGAGCATACTGTTAACTTCCTTGGTAAAAAATTTGCATTTTCCCTCCTGAGAAGTTTTAGCAGCCTGAAATGAAAGACATTTTTGTATATTCTCTGCATAACAATGTAACAATTTTTCATACTTAAAATGAATTTTAACTTTCTTAATAAACATTGGCTTTTTTTGTTTTTATTTGGGGGGGGGGGGGCATACCTGCTTCAGTTTTTGGATGGTTTCCTCCAAGTCTTTAGGCATATCCAGGGGGAGCTTAGGTGCTGTGGCTTCATCAATGACTTTCTCATCCTTGCTGTTAGAGTCTTCTTTGAAGGGGTTGTCTATCATGGACTCTATGTTCTTGTCAGAACCTGCCATGGCAATGACGGAGTCGATGACAGCCCCGATCCTCTCGTCGTAAGACTGGGCGTCCTGTGAGGAATCGTCATTAGAGGAGGGACTAATGAGGTCCAAGTCCAGACTCGTTCCATTGGTCTGGCTAACTGACGTATCCCCCTGCTGTTTAAGAAGTTCTGCCACTGTGGCCTTCTTCCTATAAAAAGATTTCATTTGATTTTTTCTTGACTGAAGGGTTTTGAGTGGACATGTTTACTCCAAGTAGTTTTAAAAGTCTACATTTTTTGCAATTTGAACTTTTTTGTTACTTATTTTTAATAACTTGCTTTCATTTTTTTTTCATTGAATTTTTAATTATGTGTAGGAAATAAGATAATAAGATACATGTATATGTATCATAAGAAATACTGAAATCACAATTTCTTACTTTTTAGGTTGTTTTTCTTTCTCTGTGGGGACCTTTGGTTTCTTAAATGTCTTCTCTGACTCTCCATTTAATATCTTTTTCTTCTTTTCATGTAATGAATTTCCATCTTTCAATTTCCTCTTCTAATAAATTCAAGGATATACAGCACATAAGTAAAGGAAAAATTATACTTCATACTGTGGTGTATCATCTTGAAGAGATGTGTATTTTTTATATTGATTGATATTATATTAAAAGTAAACAATTTGTTGACTCATTAGACTGGTAGTTTTAAAAGTACCATGTTATATCAGAAAAGAAAAACAGACCTTTTTCTTTCTATGTTCCTCATTTTCCGACTCAGAATCAGATGTTATCATCTGTAAAAATCAAATACAAATGTCAACATTCAGCCCCTGATTCAACAGTCATAAGGACACACACACATTAGAATAATTTTCCCCCATATCAACCTTACCCTCTTCTTCTTTTTCTTTTTAAGGAATATAAACTCATCCCCTGAGTCATCAGACACCTCCTTAAATCCGAGCTTCCCTGAGTTGATGTAGAATCCACCTAATGTGGTAGTCAGACACAGTGGCACAACTTCATCATACTGCAATGCAAAATATCAAAGTCATTTTGCAAAGTTGGTAAATAAATATTCCGTGCCCCAACACGCTTTTTTTTAACTTTATGCCACCCAAATAAATTTTATAATGTTTCATACAGAGTTACTGTTGGCAAAAAATACTTTTGTATTCATTCACTAATCTTTTTTATGTAACATTAGCACAAAAACAATATGACACCGTTATTTTTTTCCAAGTATGTTGAAAATAATTTTAAAATAGTGTTGGCATTTTATATATAATGTTGAAAACATAATTAATCATTATATTTATAAAATAGTACTAGCAGTTTTATATAGGCTATACCATCCATACATTATATACACTGAAATACCTACCGCCTCAGAGTTGTCAATGAATGGATCCTCCTGGTCATACCCATCTCCCAGGTCTACCAAGTCAGTGATGCGCCCAGCTCGCTTTTTACCCTTCTTACCCGGTTTTGGGGCCTACATTTGAAACAATATTAAGGTGAAATAAACAAATTTGACTGTGTAGACTTTTTTAAAATTTATTTTTGGAATTTTTTTTTATCTTCCAAATGGTTTATGGTTAATTAAATTAAAACTATACTGAATTATCCGCTAAAAAATCTGCATATGTTTACTTACGTATTTTTCTTCAAAACTCTTTGCCAACGCAACAATTTTATCGTGGTCTTCGTCATCCCCAAAGGGATCATCGGGATTAGGAATTCCTCCATTTGGTACTTTACTGTCAGTCTACATAAATATATTTTTATAAATTAAGACTTGAATATCATATTCATTTATTCAAGTTTATGCCTATGATTAGTTTATAATAATAATTTGCTGCTAAATAAATATTACTTGTGATTACTTTCATTAAAACATGCTTACACATCACGTCCGTACCTTCACTAACCTAAAAATCGCGTGTAAAATCCCTAAACTACTCCATTTCCCGTTTAATTGTAGCGCATGCGCAGTAGCACGCAACCCCGCCCTGACCCGCACCCCCGCTCCTCACCCCACCGCCACGATAACTTCACCGGCTCGATTAAACCCCCGTATACCGCACTGTGCGATAAGCCCGCACAACAATACACAACTTCACGCTCCAATAGCGCTCCCCGAGTCCCGATAATTTTATCGACAGCAAAATCAATATTACATTTTGCAGTGTAAATCTGATTAATTTTCTCCAAATTATTACTTATCTTTACATAAGTTGGACAACCAAGATTTAACCAAAAAATAGACCAATCGATAAAGCAGACAAAGTACATATATTGTAAATACATGTATGTGTATATATGCATTTAGTACACTTACCTATAACTATTTTTAGAGCATTGACTTACATGCGACCCCATATTGTGGTCCTCGCACCATCTATTGTTTGTTAATATTTAATGTTCTAAAACTTAATCACCAATTATCTAATTCTCAGAGAAAAAATACAAACTACAAAGTTCACAAAATACGTTAATCTCAAAAACGAGCTTTTTCTGCGGCCAGGCTAGCAGTCGACAAGAAAAATTCCACTGAGCGTGAAGTGTTAATCTCTTTGTGTTTACATTCAAAATGGATCATCAAGAAATAATAAAGATATTCAAGCAAAAATCATCTTTCAGTTTAAAACAGAATTTCTTCGGAGCTTGCTATAGGAATCATCCAAAACCTAAAACGCAAACGTACAATATGCATCGTAATAGGACGGCCTGAACAGTGTTTAAAGAGCAGCAGTCAGACCTGACGGTAATATTAACCTTTGTGACCTTTGATTGCACATATTTGCGCAAGCTGTGCATTATACATCATGTCCAAACCAAGAAAGAACCAAATGAATAAAACTCTAGAATGTTTCCAATCGTTTTACACAAATCTGAACACATTGCATGAAGTGCTGTGCGTGTGTAATGGGTGAGCATGGGTAGGCCTACTCTCTTTGTCAAAGGAAATCTAGTCACTCAAAATGGCGTTTTGTTGGCTAGTTATTCACTCTGTGTAACTCAGTGTTATCTATGGCTTGTTCAGCCATTTTCCTCACATATGCCATTATAAAACATGCTGGAAGACTAAAATTTGTATCAAATTTTAGGAATCCCCCCTATCAGTGGTGTATTGAAAAGTTCAAAATAAAATTGGATCAAGTTGTCAAAATTTGATGTTATTACACAAAAGTTAAGAAATAACTTGTATCTTGAGATTTTTATAAAATAAAGTAACCTACCAACTCGTTCTTTACGAGATCGGTGTAGAAAAACTCTGGACATGTTGTATCAGTTGATGGCTTTAGGGTCAATTCTAGCCGCACAGTTTTGGGGTCCTTTTTCTTTGATTTTACTTCCTTTGTTTGTGTAACAGTCGTGAAAGACAATCTTTTAGGTTCCGCCATTCCGTCCAATTGAAGTATCCATCTGTTTATGTCTTACTTTCGAGGAAAATATTTTCATCCTCCAAACGGAGCTGACAAATATAGCGCCATTTTGTTGTATCGTGACGTCACTAAACCATGACCTTCGATTTAGTCGAAACTAATTTTTGAGGTAGTTTCAGAAAAAAAAAGATATAAAATTTTAATATACTTTATCTTTATTCTTTCAAGTATGTATAAAATCTATAACCGAAACTTAAATGTACACAATCTTTTGTCAGGCAGTTGTTTTAAAGCTTTTGATATGAGCAACATAGTGAATCAAGAGGTCCTGATCACCCCTGTAAAAAGTGGAACAGTCGTAAAGTAAGAAAACCCCTTTCTATATTTAACTGGATGGAAGGAGAGATTTTCTCTCTATCCATATTGGACTAAAATGGTCTTTTAAATCATTTAAAAAAAAGACTCTTATAAAAAAAATTCCTTATCAGTTATTAAATTATTTAATAATAGAAAAAGTGGGTTCTAATTTTCTGAAAGTTTTAGCATTGTTAAATCTTTTGTAAATAATTAACAGCCCTCAAAGAAAGAAAAAAACGTTAGAGTGTGTCTAGCACTGGAATCAAAACAAGTACCAATCTCTTTGTCCACTCCGTAAAAATAATTCAGTCTGTTATGTACAATTCTAAAATAACAAAAAATACAGGAAGGTACACAACCTTATGAAATAAACTAAAAATAATTTCCATTTAACCAAAATATCTCTTCAAATCACTTCATTGTGGAAAGCTTTACTCAAAATGTGTTTTGTGTGTTCTTGTAGTTCATTAAATGTATGAATTTTGCTTCACTGGCAGAATTGGGAATTTAAGAATTTCTTGGCATTATGATAAATTTATCAATTACTAGTATTTGAGGAAGTACATATTTAAACATCTTTATTCAGATTAGCTATTTTTAAAAACTTAAAAAAAAAAGTTTTAATGTGTTGGTATACACGGGTATAATTAAGAGAAAGCTTTCAAATAATTCAGTGTAAATTACCCCCCCCCCCTCCCCATGTCAATTTCTACTTTTACAGTACATGTATATACATGTATATTCCTTATTCTTTCTCTTTATAAATATGTAACATTTATATTGCCCCCTGAGAGCCCATAATTGGTAGAAATAAAGATGTTTGTTTTAAGTTTTCTTAAATATTTAAAATAATTATCATTAGTACTACATGTATTTATTGTTTTCCTCATTTAACACAGATTCAGAAATATATTACTCTGCCCAAAATAAAACAGGAGTAAAAATAAGACATATAAAATTCCACTCCATTAATGTCCTTCATGAGCATTGCATTTTACCTGTTTTTTTAACTCTGGGAATTTTCCATACAGGTATAAAGGTGAATTTGCTTTGCACCACTAAGCAATCATCCAGCATGTATGGTTCAGGTAAAGGCTTCTAGGAGAATTGACCCTAAACTTTAATGACAGCTAGGACATTCAGCACCATGGACACTGTTAATAATTATACATGTACCATACATTTTTTTTTCTTCTGGTGAAACGCAATTTGGATTAAGCAGGGCATGACCATAGCCACAAAGCAGGATAGAAAAGGGGGGTGACAAGAGGCCCATGGGCTAGAATACTCACCTGAGTAGCTTTCGCCCTGCTGTTCTTCTTCAGATTTCCAAAAAGATTTTTACATTTCCAAAAGAAATTTATGATTCCATATTACAACCCCACTCTGAGGGTCTTTGAATCCACACAATAATAAAATCATTATGAATATTTTGACTTCTTTTGTGAACATGTCCTGATTTTTGTGAACATGTCCTGATTTCCAGAGAAAAAATATATATCAGAAAGGTACATATATATTTTTTTCAATAAGAGACCATGTTGATCTTTACATTTAGACAGGAATGCCAGTTTATTTTGTTAAAATGGTTTTCAGCCAATGCAACTTAAACATTCTCATAATAGAATTTAAAAGTTATGATCCTATTGCTACAACATTCCTAAATTAAATTTTACATTACACATGTATAGTAAAGGCCTCTCACACAGCCTCAGATGTACAAAGTAACAAAGTCCTTGGTTGAAACAAAGCTGAAGGCAAGAAAAATAAGTACATTGCTTTATTCATTAATATATCAGAAAGCAACAATTTACATAGAAGAATTGCTTGAAATTTTCCCATTAAACATGCAGATGCAATGCAGCAAAATACTGCAAGTACAACTCACACATTAGAAGTGAAATGTAAATACAATCTCCTACAACAGTTTTACCAACAGACAGTACTTATAATTTCATCTGTATAAAATAAGGCAAGCACCTGCCAGAGGTAAAATTCAGTATAAAACTTATATTGTTTTCTAATGTTTAACTTTTTCTACACTGGAAATAAAATTCCCTTTTTTTCACCTTCCTATTTATCCAGCATATGCTGATGTCATTCTTTGCCTCATGTCTTAGCTGATTTTATTGCTTTCAGTAAATGCCTTCCCCAAAAGTTTCATGATTTCCCCGTGTTTGAGGTCTTTCTCCCTCTCCTTCATGGTCCCGTAGTTTTCTTTGACGTACATGGCGAACTTGTTGGGGGTCCTGGGAGTTGCCGGAGTAGAACCTGACCCCTGGGACATCTGTCGGTTGTTAATCAGGATAAACTGTCCGTGACAGAATCCACACACCTTTCTTGAAGTGTCCAGCGATTTTGAGTGTCGACCAATACTGAAACAAAATACTCAGTGAACAGTGCTGTTTTCTTATTTTCACAAAGTTTTCTACATGCTAGGTGGAATTCAGTTTTAAAACTTCAGTTAGATGCAACCAATTAGCTTTAAAGAGACTTTCAATCATTGAGGGTATTGCTTGTTTTGATTTTGGATACAAAAGTCTCAGATATACACTGTAACTAATTTTGGAACAAAATAAGCAAGTGAAAATTTATCATTGATTTATATCACACCCATCAGAAGTCTAAAATTAGGAACAATGTTTAAATTAATTCTCAATACCTGTATCCACATTTACTGCACTGATATGTGTATTTAGTAGAAATACTGTAGCTATGGCAACGGGCAATGATAGGAATTTCAGGATGAGTCAAATTAGCCTTTTTGGCCCTGAAAAAAGTGGAAAAAACATGCATTATTAAAAAATCTATTCCACAAAGATTCATGGATTTAATGAAGTGGATCTGATTTTTGGAGTTGGTGCACAAAAGATATTTAAATGATTTTCCATATCTATATTTTTAAAACAGAAATATAATGCATGACATCTCAATTTTTTTCAAATATAATCCTCGATTCATCAAGAATTGCAGTTGTCCATAGAAATAATATTCTATCATTAAGTCTTAAACTAATTTCCCTCCTTCTTTTCACTGATTTTACTTCAGTGAGATGTATTACCATATCCTCCAGTAGGGACCATGGCCGTCGTTTTTGCCGTGAAGCAGCCAAACAGCAGCGTGACAGAGTTCGTGGATCAATGTGTCCCTCACTCTCTCTGTAAGTATAGAGGATCATGTGATCTCTCCTGATACATGTGTTCAAGGAGGAAAATACGAAGAAAAAAGGTTTACACCCTTAAAAGTAGTTATTTCTGAAGAAAAGTGCTTGAAATGATAAATACTTTAACGCATAAGGCAACAACTTTATCAAAAAATCTGCCTCTAATTTTGAGAAGATTCCACATGTCTTTTGTCAGTATGTTTATTATGAGTGCTGTATTTACCCGGTGAGTCGCAGACTTTGGTGGAGAGCTCGACTCTCACTGAGCTGCTGTCTTGAGTCTTGGCGTTCTTCTTGTACACACAGTAACCAGCTGTCTTCAGGAGGCGATTGTTCCACAATATCAGCAAATCCTCCGGAAGCTTATAAAAATATAACAAAGACATATAATCTCGTCATGGTTGAAAGCCTTCATATCACTATTTTGAGAACGTGTGATAAAATACAATGTAGGAAATAAAAATAATGTACTCTGAACTTCATACATGTAATTAAAGAAACTCTTTTGAATTGCATTTTGAAAAGTTGTTTACAGATGCTGTGCAGTTAGCTATTTAGACAGAGAATGGAAGACTTCTCTGTCTAAAAGCAGACAGCTGAAAAGTTGACATAATATAACCTTTTAAAACATTCAGAACAAGAGCATCTTACCTTATTTTCAAAGACAGTTTCATTGTACAGTTTAAACAGTCTGTTTGTTAAGTCTTCTTTCATCTTTTTGAAATTCTTAGTGTACCTAAAATACGTAAACATTAACATAAAAACATATATCCTTAACATGAATCAAATTATTAGATAATCCACATCAAAAAGTTTGACAAGGATATCTTTCAACCAAAATTAATTTTTTTAAACCAACAACTTACTTTTCCTACGATATTACATAAAACTTGCAGAAATGTAGAAATAGACATGGAAATAACTACAACTCATAGATTAAGGTTAGATACTGGGTATGTTTTTTTTTATATTGCCCCAAATTTCAAAATAAAAAAAGAATCTGTCGAAAGTATTAAATATGTATGAACATGGAGAACTAAAAACAATCTGTGGTCATAAATTTGTGGGCTCTCCACAAACAGAATGAAAATGCTGTATTGAGATGGAGTACTGATTGAGCCCTGATTGAGACTGAGGCCTGATTAAGATTGAGACTGAGCCTTGATTGAGACTGAGCTCTGATTTAGACTGAGCCCTGATTAAGATGGAGTACTGATTGAGACTGAGCCTTGATTGAGACTGAGCTCTGATTTAGAGTGAGCCCTGATTGAGACTGAGGCCTGATTAAGATGGAGTACTGATTGAGACTGAGCCCTGATTGAGAATTAGCTCTGATTTAGAGTGAGCTCAGACTGAGACTGAGCCTTGACTAAGACTGACCTCTGATTGAGACTGAGTCCTGATTGAGACTAAGCTCTGATTTAGAGTGAGCTCGGATTGAGACTGAGCCTTGACAAAGCTCAGCCCTGATTGAGACTGAGCTCTGAGAGAGACCAAGTTGGATTGAGATCAAGCCCTAACTGAGACTGAGCCCTGATAGAGACTCAGCCTTGATAGAGAGTGAGCCTTGATAGAGACAGAGCCCTGATAGAGACTGATCCCTGATTGAGACAGAGCCTTGATAGAGACTGAGCCTTGATTGAGACTGAGCCCTTGCCTGGGGGCCATAAAACTAAGACGAGCTCACTTTTGATCTCAGTCTCACTTTTCTACTATAAGTTCCTTTGGAAAAAGTGAGACTGAGATTAAAAGTGAGTTTTACGGCCCTCAGGCCTGATCTAAAGTGAGCTCTGATTGAGACTGAGCCTATAATGAGAAAGACTGATCCCTGATAGAGACTGAGCCTTGATTGAGACTGAGCCTTGATTTAGAGTGATCTCTGATTGAGACTGATCGCTGATTGAGACTGAGCCTTGATAGAGACTGAGCCCTGATTGAGATTGAGCCTTGATTGAGACTGATCCCTGATTTAGAGTGATCTCTGATTGAGACTGATCGCTGATTGAGACTGAGCCTTGACTAAGACTGAGCCCTGATTGCGACCGAGCCCTGAGAGAGACCTAGCTGGATTGACACCGAGTCCTGATTGAGACTGAGCCCTGATTGAGACTGAGCCCTGATTGAGACTGAGCTCTGATTGAGACTGAGCCCTGATTGAGACTGAGCCCTGATTGAGACTGAGCCCTGATTGAGACTGAGCCCTGATTGAGACTGACCTGAGAGCCTCTCTATCACATCTGTCCTCGGGGGTGTCTGTCGACAGGGACTTCAGGAAGTTATACTTGGGTTCTTCCTTCTCCTCCCACAAGTCTCTCTCCCTGCTTGTCGTCTTTTGAATCTTCTGTCTTGGTTTTCTTATGATGGGCTTAATGTCTGCAAGTACAGTGTATAATACTATGACATCGTTGCATATTAACTTACCATTACAAAACAATAGACACTTCTTACCTATATTTACATTCTTACTACTTTTATCTTACCCTGTATGACATTTATACAAACTTAAGCATGCACACTTAAAAGAAACAATAATTAATAACTTTGTTTACCACCCTCCCACACTTTGACCTCTTTCTATTTTTCTGATATATTAGCCATATCATAAGTCAGGAAATGAAAAAAATGGACACAATATGCAGAGTTTAGTGATTAGAAAGGTATGATTTAGGAATTTACAAGTAATGGTTATTAATGACAACCAGAAATTTCTGACAACTCCGTAGCTCGACTGGTGTGCACTTAAAATACAGACACTGTTTTAGTACAGGCTATTTGTGTACAAAGTCTACTTGAAATCTGACCAAAATTGTAGGAGGAGAAGCATTTCAAAAGAATTTCAAAGAAACTCTGTCTTAAAAAAAAACAAGAGGCCCAAGGGCCTTGAATCACTCTTCTGATAAATTGTACAATCTATCACTTCTATTCGAAGCCTCCAACTCTATTAGTATCATAAGACCCTAAATGCATCAACTGACAAAGTTTGATAATATTTAGCCAGTTAAGACTGAAGATATTATAATATAATTATAAAATACCATAAGTAGGTCACAGTGACCTACCTTTTGATTGAAATTTTCTGAGGACTCAAGATACATTAATTGACAAAGACTGATGACTCTAAGTAAATAAGTACCTGAGATATTCAAAAGTAGGTCACCGTGAACTACTTCTTGGTTGACATTCTATGAAACCCTAAGATGCCTCAACTGACAAGTTTGATGATTCTGAGCCAATAAGTACCAGATATAATTAAATATAGCCATAAAATGTCAAAAGTAGGTCACAGTGACCTTCTTTTTGGTTGACGTTCTCCAAAAACCCAAGGTGCCTAAACTGACAAAATATGATGATTCTAAGCTAATAAGTACCTGAGATATTCAAAAGTAGGTCACCGTGACCTACTTTTTGGTCGACAATCTCCAAAAACCCAAGACTCTCTGAAAACTGAAGATGCATCGACTCACAAAGTTTGATGATTCTAAGCCAATAAATACCTAAGATACTTAAATATAGCCATAAAATGCCGAAAGTAGGTCATCGTGACCTACATTTTGGTCGACATTTTTAAAGACCCAAGATGCATCTACTGACCAAGTTTGATGATCGTAGGTCTGAAGGTAATCAAAATATGCGTTTTAAACAATTTGAAAACAAATGTCAGCAAAATTCAAAAAGTAGGTCACAGTGACCTACTTTTTCATAAATATGTTTTAAGGTCCCAAGATGCATCAACTTACAAGATTTGATGATTCTAAACCTCCCAGTGTCTGAAATAATGGGATTAAATTTTTTTAAAAGGATAAGTCATAGAGTTCAAAAAGTAGGTCAAGGTGACCTTCTTTTAAGTTGACATTGTTTAAGGACCCAAGATGCATCAACTGACAAAGTTTGATGATCATAGGCCTTAAAGTGTCCAAAATATGCCTTCAAATCAATTTGAAAACAAATGCCCGTAAAATTTTAAAAGTAGGTAACCGTGACCTACTTTTGAGTTAACATGATGTGAAGTCCTAAGATGCATCAACTTACAAGATTTGATGATCCTAGTCCTTATAGTAAGTAAGATATACACATTTTTATTAATTGTAAATTTAGGTCAACTTTGAAGTGACCTTGAAACCACATCCTTTGCCCCAGGGTAATTCCCCGAGCAAATTTTAATCTTCGACATATCCTGATCCTTGTATGTAAGTTTGGTGAAAATCTGCCAGTGGTTCTGGAGAAGAAGATTTTTTAGCAACCAGTACTTTTGGTTTTGTTTTCCTGATTATCTCCCCTTGTTTAAGGGTCCTAACCCTTATTTTAGTATAAATGGTAGCCCTTGGGCCAATGATACCCTGTGACGAATTTGGCACTGATTGGCCAAGGGGTTCTTGAGTTATGGCCCATATTCTAAAAAGTTTACGCACACCGCACACTGCACAAATGGCCATAGCATTAGCTCTTTGAGCCTTTGGCTCAGAAGAGCTAATTATAATTCCATTCTAAAACAATACAACAGAAAAAAGAATTTAAAAAAATATTATCACCCACCAGATTTAAAGATGTCATCTTCACTGTTATCCAACAAAACTGGTTCCACCTTCCTACAAGATTTAAAGAAATCTTTATTTTTTAGTTTACATAATCCTGCAGTTAATTTTTGGAAATTATATGAAACTATGTATGCAAATCCCATTGATGATCAATACACTACAAAAACTGAATTTGCTTGAAAGAACTATATGCGGTATTAACCAACATTTGCCCCCCCAAAATCAAACTTTGATGGAGTAATATTTAATTAAGTCCTTAAACAGGGGAGTATATGCTGACTTCAAAGCACTGAATGATTTCATAAGCAATGACGTCATATGTACGTAATGACGTCACAAATATGACGTAAATTTCAGTTTTTTATGAATTTTGCAGAAAAATGTACATATTTCGTCGATATTTTAAATAAAAGTCACCGAGCGCATGTGTGTTCAGGATAAATATTTTGATATAATGTGTAGAATGATAATATCAATGAAATATGTCAATATTGTTCCTGAACACACATGCGCTCTATAAATTTTAAAGCTTAAATTGTTGAAATTTTGTCCATTTTGTCCTCTTTCTGGAAAAGGATATAAAATCGGACTAGTTTGTGACGTCATAAAAACAGAAATTGTGAATACACTGCTCTGGAACTATAATATTTTCTGTTAACTTATATTTCTCGTACAATTTATTGAATTCAGCACATTTCAGGAAGTTTTCAAAATTTGACTTTTGTGGGGGCAAACATATGCAATATACCGCATATAGTTCTTTGAAAAGAAATTCAAGGAAGACTTGTTTGCTTCTAATATTAGAACAGATCTGAATATGTGACTGAATCTTAAACTAATTCCTGTGTGGGTTCATTGGGTTGGTATCTGATGATATCTACCTATCCATAGGTGTGTCCTATGTAGAGTGGAGTCTCAAATCAACTTGTGTGTCCTGTGTAGAGTGTCTAGATATCTCTCTGTGTATTGTAGTGTCTAGATACAGTAAAACTCAATATAACGATGTCACTGGACCTTTGAAATTAATTCATTATATCTGTAATTCGTCATACCCATATAAGGAATTCATTAAATTTATGTAGCTGGGGATCCAAAATAACTTCGCTAGATCCATGAATTCGCAATATCTGTGTTCCTACTAAACAAGTTTTGCTGTATCTACCTGTGTAGAGTAGTGTCTAGATATCTACCTGTGTAGAGTAGTGTCTAGATATCTACCTGTGTAGAGTGGTGTCTAGATATCTACCTGTGTAGAGTGGTGTCTAGATATCTACCTGTGTAGAGTGGTGTCTAGATATCTACCTGTGTAGAGTGGTGTCTAGATATCTACCTGTGTAGAGTGGTGTCTAGATATCTACCTGTGTAGAGTGGTGTCTAGATATCTACCTGTGTAGAGTGGTGTCTAGATATCTACCTGTGTAGAGTGGTGTCTAGATATCTACCTGTGTAGAGTGGTGTCTAGATATCTACCTGTGTAGAGTGGTGTCTAGATATCTACCTGTGTAGAGTGGTGTCTAGATATCTACCTGTGTAAAGTGGTGCCTAGATATCTACCTGTGTAGAGTGGTGTCTAGATATCTACCTGTGTAGAGTGGTGTCTAGATATCTACCTGTGTAGAGTGGTGTCTAGATATCTACCTGTGTAGAATAGTGTCTAGATATCTACTTGTGTAGAGTGGTGTCTAGATATCTACCTGTGTAGAGTGGTGTCTAGATATCTACCTGTGTAGAGTAGTGTCTAGATATCTACCTGTGTAGAGTGGTGTCTAGATATCTACCTGTGTAGAGTGGTGTCTAGATATCTCAGGGCTCTCGATTCTCTAAAATTGGGGCCGTTCAACGGCCCCGTTCCCAATGCAAAAAAGGTACCCTTTTCCCAAAAGAAAGTTGTAAATTTCCCAATTTCCAACGCAAAATATTAATTTAAAAATAAAAGTCCATGAAACTTAATCGCAAAAAAAAAAACTCAAACAAAACACACTTGCAAATGAAAGTGAAACTGAACGACTATTTTCACCCCTACTAATGTGTTCGGAACCTTTTATTTTTCGGTGTTCTGCACATTATAAAACCCGGTGAGTTCAGAGTAGCTCTGACAGTGGCTCTGGCGAGAGCTAGCGAGACTTCAGTGAGATAGGGTAAATTATTCACGGAAATGTGGCTAGGAAGTGACTAGCACGTGGAGACATGGTAAACAGAAAAGTTATGTTTCGTTTTAGTTTTCATCACCCTATAATATAATTCTGTAGAAATGTACTTCAATCGATCTTTCTTGAATCCATTCAAGTTTAAATTATTTTTAAGTATTCTCTAAGATACAATTTTCTGCTGTCATGAATTAAAATTTCTTTTTGGACAAATATTTTGCATGGGAACCGGGACTATATTTTCTAGCGTCAGATAAGCAAATGAGGCACCAATGTGACTTTAACTGACAAATCAGATGAAAGAGAATTGCATTATGGGTTACTATACGAATACTACAGGAATTTTACGCTTGATAAATTCCTTTATTGTACTGTCGGTGAATACAATTGCCAGGTGGATTCCCTTGCCAACACACGTGATCACGAGTATAGTAGTGTAAAAAATGTTTTTGTCCATTTAAATTCATACGAGAAGCTGTTCGTTTTCCTTACCCTTGAAGTGCTGGTGTTCTGAACTTGACACGAACTACGTATACATTTTATTAAACATATTTTTCTCTAGTTAACAACAAATTAAAAACGCCCGTAATGTTTTTCATAGTTTGTAATGTTTGCATTTTGTTCATAAGAACATTTTTTTTATTTTGCACTCCATTGACATGATCATAGATTGACCTAGGCCTGAATCAAGTGTTCGAAGTAACATGTAAGCATGTATTTGGCGTAAACGTATTCAATCAACAATTAATTGGTCAGTTGCTCGTGGTAAGATCCTCTGTGCGCATTAATAGCAATAGCCATATAAGGCAAACAAAGGTTTGTCAGTGTATATGATATTACACATTTTTTTACCAGCTTATCGGTCGCTAGGACATGTTTTCAGAAGAAACAGACTATAGCAATTTCCTGTTTACTGCTAATTTTATTTATAAAACCGGATCTACCCTATAACCTTTGAATAGGTAAACCTAAACCATGTGTCTTGAATTTAAATCACAATAACATTAGAAGGGGTGATTTTATTAGTTCGTGCCAAATGCATTCGTAAACTGGTTAGGGGAACCAGGTTATTGTTTTTACAAAAATGTACCAACTTGAGTGCAGAGTATCTTGTCATGTATTTTCGACAAAAAACATCATTAGCTCTACTGGTCAGAGACCAGAAAAATTATGCGATAGTAATGCGTCCGTCGTCCGTCCGTCTGTCTGTCTGTCTGTCTGTCTGTCCGTCTGTCTGTCTGTAAACAATTTTTCAAAATGCTACTCCTCCTACAGTTTTGGTCTGATTTCAATATAACTTGGCACACAAGTAGACTACAATAAGATACATAATTCTGTGTATCGGTTTTTGATTTCGATGAACGGTGTTGCCTTGGTTACTAAAAATAGAAATTTCTGTGAAATTCTTTCAAAATGCTACCCCTACTACAGTTTTAGTCTGATTTCAGTATAACTTGGCACACAAGTAGACTACACTAAGATACACAATTCTGTATATCGGTTTTTGATTTCGATGAACGGTGTTGCCGTGGTTACTAAAAATAGAAATTTCTGTGAAATTCTTTCAAAATGCTACTCCTTCTACAGTTTTAGTCTGATTTCAATATAACTTGGCACACAAGTAGACTACAATAAGATACATAATTCTGTATATCAGTTTTTGATTTCGATGAAAGGTGTTGCCGTGGTTACTAAAAATAGAAATTTCTGTGAAATTCTTTCAAAATGCTACTCCTACTACAGTTTTAGTCTGATTTCAATACAACTTGGCACACAAGTAGACTACACTAAGATACATAATTCTGTATATCATTTTTTGATTTCGATGAATGGTGTTGCCGTGGTTACTAAAAATAGAAATTTCTGTGAAATTCTTTCAAAATGCTACTCCTACTACAGTTTTAGTCTGATTTCAATATAACTTGGCACACAAGTAGACTTCACTAAGATACATAATTCCGTATATCATTTTTTGATTTCGATGAAAGGTGTTGCCGTGGTTACTAAAAATAGAAATTTCTGTGAAATTCTTTCAAAATGCTACTCCTACTACAGTTTTAGTCTGATTTCAATATAACTTGGCACACAAGTAGACTACACTAAGATACATAATTCCGTATATCATTTTTTGATTTCGATGAATGGTGTTGCCGTGGTTACTAAAAATAGAAATTTCTGTGAAATTCTTTCAAAATGCTACTCCTTCTACAGTTTTAGTCTGATTTCAATATAACTTAGCACACAAGTAGACTACAATAAGATACCCAATTCTGTATATCAGTTTTAGAAATTCTTTCAAAATGCTACTCCAAATACAATTTTAGTCTGATTATAATATAAATGTGGCATGCAAGTAGACTGCACTAAGAACATAAAGAGACTTAATCAAGGATCATTATTCTATTTATTGCTGTTGAAAAGTTTCAATTTCCAACTGCTTAAGTACTTTTCTCTTCCTTTGCTATAAGTACAAACCAGTAGAGCTTCAGTCTCGACAGAGACTTCTGGTTTTGGTTTCAAAAATAGATATTTCATTTAAACATTAGTAAGCTGCACCTAGAAACATACCCACGCTTCGGCATGTTCAGTCTAGCGCTGTATTGGTAAGCAAAGTTGTCCATGTAATCGAGGAAATAGCGACTGTCACTCAGAAAGACATATAACCGCAATATCAACACTCAAAAGATAGTAATAGCAAAGCTTATGTACTTTAATAAATAGCCTACGTAGCCATGTTTGTTCTGTTTAACTGTTTATTCAAAACTAGAGTTAAATTGATGACAAAATACTGGAAAAGCAAACTTTGAGGATTTTTTTTTAATGAATGTTGGTTTTCCAACTTTTCCCAAAATGACGATAATTTTCCCAATTTGAACGGCCCCGGCCCCAGTCCCAAAAAGTGGT